ATCATCATCATCATCAACATCACCATCATCATCATCATCATCACCACGACCACCATCATCATCATCATCATCACCATCACCACCATCATCACCATCACCATGACCACCATCATCACCATCACCATCACCACCACCATCACCACCATCATCACCACCACCATCACCACCACCACCATCATCACCATCATCATCACCACCATCACCACCACCATCATCATCACCACCATCACCACGACCACCATCATCACCACCACCATCATCATCATCATCACCACGACCACCATCATCACCATCACCATGACCACCACCATCACCATCACCACCACCATCACCACCATCACCATCATCATCATCATCATCACCACAACCACCATCATCATCATCATCATCACCATCACCATCATCATCATCATCATCACCACGACCACCATCATCATCATCATCATCACCATCACCACCATCATCACCATCACCATGACCACCATCATCACCATCACCATCACCACCACCATCACCACCATCATCACCACCACCATCACCACCACCACCATCATCATCATCATCACCACCATCACCACGACCACCATCATCACCACCACCATCATCATCATCATCATCATCATCACCACCATCACCATCACCACCATCATCACCACCATCATCACCACCACCACCACCACCACCATCATCATCATCATCACCACGACCACCATCATCACCATCACCATGACCACCACCATCACCTTCACCACCACCATCACCACCATCACCATCATCATCATCATCATCACCACGACCACCATCATCACCACCACCATCATCATCATCATCACCACGACCACCACCATCACCATCACCACCACCATCACCACCATCACCATCATCATCATCATCATCACCACGACCACCATCACCACCACCATCACCACCATCACCATCATCATCATCATCACCACGACCACCATCATCACCATCACCATGACCACCACCATCACCATCACCACCACCATCACCACCATCACCATCATCATCATCATCATCACCACGACCACCATCACCACCACCATCACCACCATCACCATCATCATCATCACCACGACCACCATCATCATCATCATCATCACCATCACCACCATCATCACCATCACCATCACCACCACCATCACCACGACCACCATCATCATCATCATCATCATCATCACCATCACCATGACCACCATCATCACCATCACCATCATCACCACCATCATCACCATCACCACCATCATCATCACCACCATCACCATCATCACCACCACCATCAACTTCACCATCATCATCATCATCATCATCATCACCATCACCATCACCATGACCACCACCATCATCACCACCACCATCAACTTCACCATCATCACCACCATCACCATCATCACCACCACCATCAACTTCACCATCATCATCATCATCATCATCATCACCATCACCATCACCACGACCACCATCATCATCATCATCATCATCATCACCATCACCATGACCACCACCATCATCACCATCATCATCACCACCATCATCACCACCATCACCATCATCACCACCACCATCAACTTCACCATCATCATCATCACCAGATGAAGATGGCTCCAGAGAGAACTTCTGTAAACACCATTAAAGATTCATTGAAAGAACCAAAGTAAAATGGCTCTCAGAAGCAGAATAATTGGACGCAGCCGGAGTTTAATGGGAGATAAACACGCGTCTCATTAGTGTGGAAACACTCTGAAGCCAAACACTCAACACGATGGTCCGATCCCTGATCAAGATCTCACATTAAAGTAAAACACTAATTTATGAAATCAAATCAAATCCAATCGATCCATCCTGATTCCGGTCCTGCTGCTCAGCCAGAGGAGACAAGACACTTTTCATCTCGGACGACGAGAACATGATCGACAGCCACTCAGAAAATCACTTAATAATCAGCTGTTAGCATTAGCATCTTCTGTTATCTCCGGCCATGATGCATCATGTTCCATTTCTGCTGGTGCTCTGTACACAACTTTACCCGGGTCAGATTCTAGGGTTCTAGACAGGAAATATCTCTCTGGATAAAGAATGAGGGGAACTCACACCGTCTGGACAGTCTCTGCTGAAGACAGCAGATCCACCCATCCATTTTCTCTCCAAGGGAGAGCCCAGCCACCCTGCGGAGAAAACTCATTTTGACCGCTTGTATCCACAATCTTGTTCTTTTGATCACTACCCAAAGCTCGTGACCAGTCCTGAGGGCGGGAACGTAGATCGACCGGTAAATCGAGAGCTTCGTCTTCTGGCTCAGCTCTCTCCTCACCACGACAGGCCGGTACAACGCCCGCATCACTGCAGATGCAGCACCAATCCGCCCGTCGATCTCACGCTCCAGTTTTCCCTCACTCGTGAACAAGACCCCGAGATACTTAAACTCCTCCACTTGAGGCAGGACCTCATCCCTGACCCGGAGAAGGCATTCTACCCTTTTCCGACTCAAGACCACGGTCTCAGATTCAGAGGAGCTGATTCTCAACCCAGCTGCTTCACACTCGGCTGTGAACCACAGAGGTCACCGTCTGATGAAGCCAACAGGACCACATCATCTGCAAAAAGCAGAACAGATTTTCTACCTGTAGTATTTACTACCAGCTCATGCAGATCAATCAGGTGATCAATAAGAGCCTTTCAGTGCAGGCTCTTCATCTGATCGATCACATGATGCATGTCTGATTGTTGTGTCAGCTCTAACGAGGTCTGAAGACTCCCTGGACACAACGCTGCAGGGTTCCTCCCGGCTCCAGTCACCGTGTCCGTCAGAATCCACCACAACCAGCTCAGTAGACCAGTCCCATTTAATCGAAGCAGATTCAAACGGAGGTGATTGGAAATTGAAGGAGGTTAGACACAGAGAAACGGGTCCTGCAACGTTCTGTAGTTCTGATTCTGAAGAACCGCGGCCGACAATGAAGCAGCTGCTTTTTGGGAACGTGGCGGAGATGTTGGAGCTGCATCATCCTGAACTGCTCTGTATGTTGGGCTCATCTCTCCGAGCTCGTTAATATTCTCCTGGTAGCACACACTCGACTCATCCAGGCTGAACACACACACACACACACACACACACACACACCCCAGAGTGGATCCACGTGTCTCTGACTGGCTGTTTCATCCTGATTTCTGACTGATCTCGTCAGCAGCCACCAAGTCAAGACGCCACAGGAGTTAAAGCAGCTGATTCCAGCGACTCGTCTCATGCTGACAAGTGGTCACATGACCACAGCAGCCCCGCGTCTGTCTGTGAGCCCCAGGGCAGCGGCGATGTAGCTCAACACCACCTGTGTAAAGAAACTTGGAGGGGGGTCTAGGACTCTAGATAGAGGCCATTAACCATCATCAACCAGCTGAGCTGATCTTTGTCTCATCTTCTGAACCTCTATGTCTGGATCAGAACCAGAACCAGAACCATCTTCCTTCTCAAGATTAATCTAAACTTTTTCTTGTTCTTCATGCTGGAGATGAGGAAAGTGGAACAAAATCATCATCACAGCAACAAGATGGAAGCAGTAAGGAGTCATTCATGAGACAGACAGACAGACAGACAGACAGACAGACAGACAGACAGACAGACAGACAGACAGACAGACAGACAGACAGACATCACGTTACTCAATCAGATACAACCTTTAAACGGACCTGACGCTGATGGGCTTTGGTCTGTTTGGACCTCCGAAGCTTCTCTGACATCACTTCTCATCATCCTTCTTATTATTAATCAATGTTTATTTACCAGAACCACCAGAACTCGGATCAGAACAAAGAGGAGGAGGAGGACTTGATGTGGACTGAAGGGCTCAGCTGCAGATCCACTTCCTCACATCCTTCTGTTTGTAAACACAGAGGCTCCAGATTTCCTTTAACCCACACCAACCCAGGTTCTGACCCAGTTTCACCGACTAGAACCCATCTTGTTCCCAGGCTTCCCGTTTCTTCACACTATCAAAATAAAAGGCAGAAATGTTTCTGATGCTGCTGGTGTGCTGTTCACACAGACGTCACTCCCCTCCAGGTTCTGATCCATTATGTAACACTGCATCAGAACCGACAGAACCATCTCATCAACGTTCAAAAGAACCAACAAAAACAGACGTTTTAAATCTCACCTGGTTCCTTTATCCCCCATCCTGATGGTAGCAACAAGCCAACAGCACACGACCGGAGACGAAGGAGGACGAGGAGGCGCGCAGCAGCAGGGGAAGGAGGAGGAGGAGGAGCGTGGGGGGATGCCGTCACCGTGGAAACTGGGGGAGGATGTTTCTCTATCTCACAAAACCCTTGTCACACTGTCAGATCATCTCAGAGGGAGAATAAAACCAGAGTGAAACCATCTCATACACACACATCCATGAGTACACACACACACACACACACGCAAACACACACACACACACACGCAAACACACACACGCTGAAAACACTCCCCCTCTATCAGCCTCATTAGCAGACGTGCCGAGACACCCAGAGGACCCGTTATATTCCTGTCTCTGACCTTATCATTCTGACCCCAGCAAGCACACACACACACACACACACACACACACACACACACACACACACACACACACACACAGCTAATTACATTCCCAGTTTTGAATATTTACATAGATTTTCAGAATAAAAGCCACTGATTCATCCAGACGTTACCGTCTGGTTCCAGCTGCAGCTTCGTGTTTCCTACTCTGTCTGATTTAGTGAATCACAACATCAACTTTCCAGTTCTACACAACGTGAAGTAGCTTCACGCCATCACACAACCTCATGAGGACAAACGTTTACTGAACGACATGAACATTAATCATCAAAGTTTAGGGATTTGAATTTTATGACGGTCAGTCAGCGCCACGGGCTTAAGTGAGTAGAACCTTCATTCACTGTATAAATTCAAATTGTACCTAAACGTCCTCCCAGAGGAACTCCTCCTACCTTCCAACAACAGTTTGGTGTAGGGATTGCATGACTTAATTTTTTTTAAGGTCGACAGTCAGGTAATGAAAATCGAGTCGACTTTGACTAGTCGTTGATGACATCATACACCTGAAGCGGTGCGGGGGGGGGGGGGGGGGTAGGTTCGCTGGAGTTTATGACAATTATAATTGCGCCCACATTTTCAAAGTTAAACACATTTCTTTTAACAACGGTAGTTTCTGCTTCAGCCCTCTCCCCCCTCCCCCGCGCAGCGGCCGCAAACTCACTGATGCGCCTGCAGCCTCTCGGAGTTCCTGCTGCTCTAAACATTAAAATAATTATTTCATTTTCTGTTCCTCACTTCTGATTATCTTCAGTGGTGTCTGTTTGTTGCAACCACCAGGTACAAAAACTAACTTGTTTTTATTTGACTATTTTTCTGTCCTGCCTGTTTATTATCTTCCTGCATCTCCTCTCAATCCTAAAGAAAAACTGCTACCTGGGTTCATATATATTCACCTCATGAGTTACCTTTGAACTGCAGTTCTAAAAGATCTACCGACCGCTAAAACAGCGGAGTGCTCGCTGCTTGCTGGCCGCGAAGCGAGCGGCAGCGGAAAGCTGGGGCGGAGAGGAGCGGAGATAGTGGAATTTTGGGGTAAGTGAGGTGTGTCACCGGAGGACAAAACAGGTGATGCGCCCGGCTCCACAGCAGCGAAACGCATCAGACACAAATAACAGACAGAAAACAAAAGGAAATTAGCCGACATGCACGATCGTGTGTTAAATTTGTTTTTGAGGTGGTGATGACTCCTAATTTGATAATGTTACTGTGGTCGTGCTCAGGACGTCACGCAGATGTCTGGAGCGCGTCAACAATCAGAGCTTTGCATGCGCAGTCTGGTTAAAATTAGGATGGGGGTGAGGGGAAGGTTAAATTGCAAGAGGGAAAAGGTCACAATTTGGTTAAATGTCCGTTTTACGGCGGGTGTCAGTACCGACGCTCTGGCACAGCGCGTCGCCTCTGCCTCCCGACGCGCAGGGGCTCACCTGCTGTCTTTTCCGAGGACTGCATCTTATTATCACGTGACAGCGATTAGTCGATGACAGGCATAAAAAGTCACTACAGAGCAGTGAAGTCGACTAGTTCACACAACCCCTAGTTTGGTGATGATCAATTTACCTGATGGGAGTACCGGGTCAAATGGATAAAGTCAGGCCTGAACTAAACATCCAAATGTTGGGTCCAGGTCCTCGATACTCCACTTAAACCCCCCAGAGGCAGGAGGACCAACCGACACCCAACGCTGATCACTAAGAATGAGCTTCAGCAGCCAGAACCTGGACCAGAAGCTAATCAGCAGCAGGTGAGGGTGAAGTGGAGAGGTCTAGATGGACCAAAGCCGGAGATATGGGCTTCAGTAACCATAGAAACGTCAGAGAACTAAAACCACTGAGGCCCAAAACGAACCTGATGGACCACATCTGGAGACTCTGGAAGACAAGCAAGAGAAGCTCCACAAACAATCAGATGTGAGACCCGATAACCGGTTCTGGTTTTGTTTTTCTGGTTTCCTGTCTGAAGACTTGTAACCAACCAGCTGCTGGTTTCATAGCTGCAGGTCAGAGGTCACCACCAAAGGCACCAGCTGCTTCCTGTTTCCTCATTAAGCTAAATCAGCTGCTCATCATCATCATCACGACGGCCCATCGAGACGTCCAGAATGCCTTGGAGCAGAAAGAAGAGAGGAGAGAGCGATGGGCAGCCGAGGCCAGTGTGGGAGGAGCTTAACACCTGGGTCAGGTGGGTCTGGTCCTGGAGGAAGAGCATCTGTGGTTTGGATCGGCAACCAGAATCTCCCAGAACTTCAATCAGAACCACTTAGTTACAACTTTCGTTTGTTTTAATGTAGTTTTATTTTGTTTTAGTTACAGACCTTATTAGAACACGGAGTCCAGATGGTTCTGTTCACTATACCCGTCCGACAAAAGGTCCAAAAGAACACAGAACAAATAAATAACAAGAAAACTCGATAAAACTCCCTTTGACCCCAAATAACAAAAAGTTCTAAACATTAGAGCAGAACCACGAGGAACCGAAGCAGGACTGGTTCTGGTTCCGAGAAGAACCAGAACCAGTTTTCATCTGAATCCTTGCGCTGACGCTCGTTCACACCACGGCGCTGCTAATTCATTATTTATGTAAAACCGTTTCGAGTAGATTAGAATAAAACCTTCTCAGAGCTAAAATCTTCATCCAGGAGCGCGACGGCCGGGCAGGCGGGGGGCGGGGGGGGGGGGGGGGGGGGGGGGGGCTGCTCGTTCGTTCTCAGGTGTTCGTGTCGCTCGGTTACAAGCACCTGAACCTCTGTTAGGTCCGAGGCGTGTTGTTTAATCATCTAAAAGCTTCTGTCTGCTTTGGCCCAAACCCCCCGTCTGAGGGGGCGGGGCCTATATCAGCTGATGTAAGTCCTCTAATCGGAGCGTTCAGATGGATGAGCGGTAAAGCCTCTGTGTCATTATTCTGGAAACCTGGAGCCAAGCCTGAAGGTTGGGGGTGTGGTTCTGGTACTGGTGAGCAGTCGTGTCTGCAGTCGGACATCGATCACGTGTTCTCCAGAAACACGAGACCCAGAACCAGCAGAACCACCAGTTCCGTAAAGCTTTTCCACATTAGTCTCTGGTTCTCCTCCGGGTTCTGATGAGGAGCTGCTGTGGGATCAGCCAGTTGCCGTGACGACAGGAGCTGCCTCAGAATAGGCCGGCTGGCTCAGATGTCGCTCCACAGGATGGCCCGGCGGCTCCTGTCCACGCTGACAACGTATTCACCAGATGGAGACCAGGACACAGCGCTGATGGACGAGCTGAGGATGAGAGGCGGAGCTTAAGTCATCAGCTGGTTTCAGATGAGCACAACTCGAAATCCGCCAGCACAGGAAAAAATAAGGAGAAATCCCAAATATTATTTGTTGTCTAGTCCGCCTAACACTGGTTCTGGCTCCAATCAGCTGATTACCTGTGTTTGTCTGGTAGGCGGGTCTCCAGAGTTCCTGTGGACACATTCCAGATGTAAACGGCGCCATCAGCTGATCCTGCAGCCAGGTAGCATCCGTCTGGGCTGCAAGAAGAGACCAGGTAGTCAAAACAACTGCTCACATCTGAGTGTGTGTGTGTGTGTGTGTGTGTGTGTGTGTGTGTGTGTGTGTGTGTGTGTGTCCACCTCATGACGGCTCTGGTGCTGTCACTGCCACATTTGAATCCTTCAGCCCTGAAACAAAAACAGTCAGTGGGACAAACAGAATCATCATCAGAACCTCAGACGGACTCTGGAGCTCCTACCTGAAGCACAGGCGCTCGTTGCTCCACCTCCTCAGGTCCACCAGCTGGAGGCAGTCGTCGCGGCAACAGATGAGCAGCTGGCGTCGGTCGGAGCTCAGGTCCAGTGAGGTGACTCTGCCCTGAGCAGGAAGCTCCTGGGTGCAGCTCGCCAATCTGACACACAGGGTAAACATCAGAACCAGGTTCTGGCCCTGCTGATCCATTTAGGACTATTACTATTTTTAGTAAAGCAGAATTCAACATCTGATTGACCTTTGACCCCTCAGCAGCAGATGTTTATCAGCCACAGAATTACTACAGATTCATGGAATAAAAATAATAATAATAATAATAATAATAATAATAATTTGACAGTTTCGTCTGTGATTGGTTACTGGAGCTGTCAATCAACTGATGCATTTAGCTCTGAGAGGGAGTGGCTCTGTACCCAGTGGTTGCTAGGCAACAAGGAGGGAGGCAAGATACCATGGAAACGGTAAGGAAGAAAGAAAATTCCAAGACACAAGTGGACGGCGTGTGATAAGAGGAGGGTAGGGGGCGGAGCTACCTGCTGTCCCAGACTCTAATCTTACAGTCGAAGTGTCCACTGATGATGATGTTCTCGGAGCAAACCAGATCACTGCAGGATGAAACCACCTCCACCTGCTGGACACCTGCAGGAGCACGCTCCTTTAACACACGCCTAGAATGACTCGGACCATCAGAAGCGAGGACAGATGCTCACGAACAGGCAGTTCTCTGCAGGTCCCACAGGCGGACGGTCCGGTCCAAACTTCCAGTCACCACCTGGTTACTGACCCGGGTGAACTTGGCTGCTGTCACCTTTCTGCTGTGACCTGTTAGAGCTACCTGGAACACACACACACACACACTGGGTTTCATAGACAGACCTTCTACTTGCAGAACTTTTTCGGTTCCCTGTCCAGCTGTCCTCTCCCTTCATGCCTGATCTCGTCCTGACACAGAGGACCAGGTGTCGAGAGGGTTCACTCTGGATTAGCAGGTTCTTCACTCGCTCATTACCTTGGGGACAGAATCGTCCACCCTCCACAGCAGGGCAGACCTGTCGTAGGACGCTGCAAGGACCTTTTGACCCTGCAGACAGACATGTACACACCTGAGACACCAGACTGCTAGGGACGGGTGGAGACAGGTGGAGCTCTCACCATGGGGTCAAACTCGATGCAGGTAATTCCTTCTGTGCTGCCGTCCAGTGTGGTTCTGTGAGTCAGTGAGCCTGATGACATCATCAGTGAGGTCAGAATAACAACAGTCAGACCTGAAACCCATGGACAGACACAGGACACACTACCTGCTCGTAGCTCCCACAGCTTGACGATCCGGTCCGTTCCTCCGGTGGCTAAAAGGTCCGAGCTGAAGCTGAACCGAACCGCATTGATGCCTTGCTCATGGGCCTCCTGCAAGAAACAGGCAGAGCCATTTGCATGGCAATGCTCAGTCAGCATGGGACTGTGGGAAGGCCAGAAGAGAGGCATGATGGGTACTGAGAGGACAGAGAAGGTCTTGTGTGTGTGTGTGTGTGTGTGTGTGTGTGTGTGTGTGTGTGTGTGTGTGTGTGTGTGTGTGTGTGTGTGTGCGTGTGCGTGTGCGTGTGCGTGTGTGTGTGTGTGTGTGTGTGTGTGTGTGTGTGTGTGTGTGTGTGTGTGTGTGTGTGTGTCAACCCCTTATAAATCCCCACCCTGCTTTGCCTACTTGGACCACCAGGTGGAGACTAAACCTCCGTTCCTGGATGGTTTTCATGGTTCAGAGCCCAGAGGAAAAGGATTTCTTTATTACAAACCAAACCAGGACTTGGACTTGTGAATGAGACCAGGTCGGTCTGAGGCGCGAGGTTCAGGATCAGGTCTTATGGGGACTGAGAGAACCAGGTCTTACCAGCACCTGTAGAGATCTGGCAGGGACTCTGGCCGACACACAGAATCCTACAGGATACAGTAGGTCCTCTTTCAGGCTGGAGACTGAGTGACCCCGCCTCTTCCTGATGATGTCATTCAACGAGTCAGAATGAAAACATAAACAAACGTCTCAGTTGGTAGTCTTGATCAAACTCACTCAAACAGTTCTCTAAAGGAGGAGAACATCCTCGGTGACGCCACCGATGCGGACCTAAGGACCACAGCAAAGACAACTGTATCAGCAAACATCTGACTCTGTCACCATGGTAACCAGGTTCGGTTTCACTCAGAGCACATTTAAACTTAAAAAGCAAGTCACCCCCTACCAGATTCTTACTCAACTCCCACTTCCTGTTTGAAAAATGCAACAAATGCTGTTGCCTAGAAGACAGAGAGGGCGGAGCCACTAACAAATACACACACACACACAGGCTCACAACGACACTGTGACATCATATGGTACCAGCTAACGTTCTAGTGTACCTCTTAGCCAACAGCGATGGCAGATTTAAATTCAAATGCAGTGCAGAGTTTTTACCTGACAACGGCGCAACACTGACAGTTTTAGGCAGAAAATTTAAATTTTAACTAAAATGCACTAAAGTGCAAAACTACTGAGTGACTACACGTGTCTGCAGCACGATTAGACACACATTTATATAGTTTATCAGGAAAAATAAGTAGATTTGGGGGTGACTTGCTCTTTAAGGTTTGTGGGTCAAATCAGGTCCGTGTTACAACTTTTTACTAAAGTCAGTCTGCACCAGAGGTCAATCTCCACCTGGCTCCAGAACGGAACAAGTTGCCATTGACTCCCATGTAAAAAATGGCAACTTCACAAGCCCCTATTGTGGACCAGATAAGTGACCATCATGGTGGCAGCATGCTCCAGAACAGCGCTACACCCTCTGTTGTCCTGGTGGAGAATTGTTTTGCAACCATCTCCAGCTGACGGAGAAGTCCGAGAGCAAAACGTCTTTGTCAGTGCGTGTGCGTCTCTCCCTCGCTGAGCTACAGAGAAGTATAAATTAGGCTTCAGCCTCACGTTATACAGGTGCTGGCCAGTAAATTAGAATATCATCAAAAGGTTGAAAATATTTCAGTAATTCCATTCAAAACGTGAAACTTGTACATTATATTCATGCAATGCACACAGACCAATGTATTTCCAATGTTCATTACATTTAAATTTGATATTCATAAGTGACAACTAATGAAAACTCCAAATTTGGTATCTCAAAAAATTAGAATATTCTGAAAAGGCTGAATATAGAAGACACCTGCTGCCACTCTAATCAGCTGATTTACTCAAAACACCTGCAAAGACCTTTAAAAGGTCCCTCAGTCTTGTTTTGAAGGCACCACAATCATGGGGAAGACTTCTGACTTAACAGCTGTCCAAAAGACAATCATTGACACCTTGCACAAGGAGGGCAAGACACAAAAGGTGATTGCTAAAGAAGCTGGCTGTTCGCAGAGCTCTGTGTCCAAGCACATTAACAGACAGGCGAAGGGACGGAAAAAATGTGGTAGAAAAAAGTGTACAAGCTCTAGGGATAACCGCACCCTGCAGAGAATTGTGACGACAAACCCATTCAAAAATGTGGGGGAGATCCACAAAGAGTGGACTGCAGCTGGAGTCAGCGCTTCAAGAACCACCACGAGGAGACTCATGAAAGACATGGGATTCAGGTGTCGCATTCCGTGTGTCAAGCCACTCTTGAACAAGAAACAGCGCAAGAAGCGTCTCGCCTGGGCCAAGGACAAAAAGGACTGGACTGATGCTGAGTGGTCCAAAGTTATGTTTTCTGATGAAAGCAAGTTCTGCATTTCCTTTGGAAATCAAGGACCCAGAGTCTGGAGGAAGAGCGGAGAAGCACAGAATCCACGTTGCATGAGGTCCAGTGTAAAGTTTCCACCGTCAGTGATGGTGTGGGGTGCCATGTCATCTGCCGGTGTTGGCCCACTCTGTTTCCTGAGGTCCAGGGTCAATGCAGCCGTCTACCAGGAAGTTTTAGAGCACTTCATGCTTCCTGCTGCTGACCAACTTTATGGGGATGCAGACTTCACCTTTCAACAGGACTTGGCACCTGCACACAGTGCCAAAACCACCAGCACCTGGTTCAAGGACCATGGTATCCCTGTCCTTGATTGGCCAGCAAACTCGCCTGACCTTAACCCCATAGAAAATCTATGGGGTATTGTGAAGCGGAGGATGCAATACGCTAGACCCAACAATGCAGAGGAGCTGAAGACGACTATCAGAGCAACCTGGGCTCTCATAACACCTGAGCAGTGCCACAGACTGATCGAGTCCATGCCACGCCGCATTACTGCAGTTATTGAGGCAAAAGGAGCCCCGACTAAGTATTGAGTGCTATACATGCACATTCTTTTCATGTTCATTCTTTTCAGTTGGCCAACATTAGAGAAACAAACATTTTTTCATTGGCCTTTAGAATATTCTAATTGTCTGAGATACCAGATTTGATGTTTTCATTGGTTGTCACCTATAAATATCAAAATTAAACGTAATAAACATCGGAAATACATTGGTCTGTGTGCATTGCATGAATATAATGTACAAGTTTCACGTTTTGAATGGAATTACTGAAATATTTTCAACCTTTTGATGATATTCTAATTTACTGGCCAGCACCTGTACGTGTTACAGCCTAGAAGGCAGAGGGTATCGGAGTCGCTCAACAACGGTTTTCTGTCTAAAAGCGCCCGCCAGCCTCTGTTAGCTTTGATTAGCTCAGTTATCGGTAGCTACGGCGCTGTCCTCATTACTAGTAAAATACCAACAATGATAGAAAATCAATATGTCCACCCGGCTGGTGGTCTAAACATATGTTTTGGGTATGATTTTAAAGTTATGAACTTATGCGTTTCCTGTTTATATACACGGCAGAGGTGCATGATGAGGCGTAGATGAGCGCTGCCTCCACTGAATGATGCAGAAGGTTAGCGCCCGCCCGCTGCTATCACCAACACACGTTTTACTCCACATGTGCTGCACATGCTAACATTCTACAATATAATGAGTTCAATGAAAGATTTAGTCTTTGTGATCAACCATAAATGAGCCGTGAAAACGAACAGGAGGAAGCAGAAGGTACCACGTCTCACTGATAGGTGGCAGCAGTGAGCCTTGTGGACACAGGTGTGCAGCGAAGATGGTGGGGGTCCATACAGGTAGAAGAAGAAGAAAGTATTATTTCTATAGCGCCTCTCAAGATAAAAATCACGAGGCGCTTCACAAAAACAAAAAATGTAAAAATATAAAAAAGCATTTAGAAAATGTTTAAAATATAATTAAAGTGAGCAAAAATAGACAATTGTGATTAAAAAAATGTTAAGAAAGAGAGAGAGTGAATAGGAAAGAGGGAACTCAGTGGATCCTGAGGAAGGTGGAATAGGTGGGGAGAGCAGAATAAAGAGAGAGAGGTGAAGAAGGTCATACAAAAGCCAGCTTGAACAAGTGAGTCTTCAGCTGCTTTTTAAAGGAGACCACTGAGTCCACTGATCTCAGGCTCAGGGGGAGAGAGGTCCAGAGTCTGGGGGCCACCGCAGCAGATGATCTGTCACCTTTGACCTTTAGCCTGGTGCTACACAACCAGTAGGCTTTGATCACTGGACCTCAGGGACCTGCTGGGGGTGTAGGGACTAAGAAGATCACCAATGTAAGATGGTGCTTGTCCATGTAAGGCCCTATAGACCAGAACCAGGATCTTGAAATGAATCCTGAAGTTGACTGGCAGCCAGTGAAGCTGGAGGAGAAGCGGGGTGATGTGGGTGTGTTTGGAGGACTTGGTCAGAAGCCGAGCACAGGCGTTCTGAACCACCTGTAGACGGTTCAGGGAGGTTCTGCTCAGACACGTGAGAAGAGAGTTACAGTAGTCTAAGCGTGAGGAGATGAAGGTGTGGAGAACTGTCTCAAGTTCAGAGCGAGACAGAATGGGACTCAGCTTAGCAACGTTCCTGAGATGGAAGAAGGAAGAGCGAACAAGAGAACTGACATGAGAATCCAGGGTGAGAGCTGGGTCAAAGGTCACGCCAAGATTCCTGACAGAAGGTTTGGTGTGGGAAGCAAGCTGACCAAGAGAGTCTCTGACTTTGGGAACCAGCTTGTCTGGGGCACAGATGAGAATCTCAGTCTTATCTTCATTCAGCTGAAGAAAGCTCCCACCATCCAGGTGTTGATGGAGTCTAAGCAGGTGTGGAACAGCTGCAGCTTAGACATCTCATCGGGCTTAAAGGAGATGTACAGTTGGATGTCATCTGCATAAAGATGGTAGGAGATTCCTTTGAAGGAGCTCAGGATGTGCTGAAGAGGAAGCAGATAGAGGAGGAAGAGCACACTACTTTATGTAGTCGAGTTTGTCCTCGTTCTCTGGACACATGAAGCTCAGGCTTCGGAGACGTTGACCTGGAACTTGGAGCGCTGGAGGAACTGAAACAGGAAGTCCAGATGAAGAGACTTTATCATCGTCATCATGGTTAATGGTCTGTATCTATATAGAGCCATTTACGGTTCAACAACCCCCCAAAGCACTTTACAACACAATCAGTGATTCACCCACCACAAAGTACACTACTTTACTTCAGACATGTTGTGGCTCAAAGCTGAAGCATTTATCTAAACTGGATTTTCAGATATCAGGAGTTTGGTCTTCACAGACATGGCAGTAGGATTTTCCCACCAAATAAAAAAAATTATTCAGTTATCCAGTGTTTCCCTAACATGGCGGGCCGCCACGGCTATGCCCATGTAAGGGAAACACTGTATACATTTTAAAAAATTCAAATCTGACCTCATTAAATACTCTTGGTTTTAGCAATTGATTTGTGGAATAGTCTGGAGTTCAGCATAATTGAGAGGTTTTTAAAAACAAAACATTTCATTCAAGTTAAAACACAAGATTCTGTATTGGGATCCGACACCAGAGGAGTCAGCGCCGCCGCAGTCATGGTCGCAAATACCACAACATTATTTAAAGGACCTCATAAACATAAAACAGGATGAACCAATCAGAAGGATGACCTGAACAGACGAGTTTGTCCTCGTCCTCTGGACACATGAAGCTCAGGCTTCGGAGACGTTGACCTGGAACTTGGAGCGCTGGATGAACTGAAACAGGAAGTCCAGATGAAGAGACTTTATTATCGTCATCGTGGTTAATGGCCTGCATCTATATAGTGCCATTTACGGTTCTACAACCCCCCAAAGCACTTTACACCACAAACAGTGATTCATCCCCCACATACATGTATTTTACAAGTAAAATTAATTCTATTAGAAACAAAATCATTGGCATCCTCCCTAATGCGATTTCTTCTTCCTCAGTAAGTGAGGCAGCATCAGAGGTAACTGTAGAACCTCATCTGTGCTTGAACCGTTTTGATCCAGTTGAGCTTTCAGATTTATCAAAAATATTAGCTTCATCTAAACCTTCAACTTGCATTTTGGATCCAATCCCAACCAAATTATTTAAAGATGCATTTCCTTTGGTTACTGCCCCCATTCTAGATATAATCAATCTATCCTTAGTAAATGGATATGTACCACAGGATTTTAAGGTTGCTGTAATCAAACCTTCACTTAAGAAGCCTTCTCTGGATCCAGATGACCCAATTAATTATAGACCAATATCGAACCTTCCATTTTTATCCAAAGTCCTGGAGAAAATAGTGGCCATCCAAGTATGTCAGCATTTAAACACTAATGCTCTGTTTGAGGAATTTCAGTCTGGTTTTAGAGAGTATCACAGCACTGAAACTGCATTAGTGAGAGTTACAAATGATATTCTCATGGCCTCAGATAAGAATCTTGTGTCTGTTCTAGTCTTGTTAGATCTCAGTGCTGCCTTTGACACAGTTGATCACAATGTTCTTTTAGAAAGACTTGAACATGTTTTAGGGATCAAAGGAGCAGCGCTAGGCTGGTTTAAACCCTACCTGTCTGATAGATATAATTCTGTAAATGTACATGACAAATCTTCTTCATACTCCAGGGTTACTTGTGGAGTACCACAGGGTTTAGTGCTTGGACCAATTCTTTTTACTATGTATATATGCTCCCAATTGGTAAAATGATTGGACCAGAAATGCAGAAAAGGGAATTGCTTAGTCAATCACCTGACCTGAATGGCATTACATTAATCTCCGAGAACAAAGTAAGGAACCTTGGTGTTATCTTCGACCAGGATATGTCATTCAAATCCCAGGTTAAACAGGTTTGTAGGATTTCCTTTTTCCACCTTCATAATATTGCTAAGATTAGAAGCCTCCTTTCCAGGAGTGACGCTGAAAAACTAGTTCATGCATTTATTACATCAAGACTGGATTACTGTAATTCATTACTCTCAGGAAGTCCATAGAATGTAGTTAAAAGTCTTCAGCTTGTCCAAAATGCTGCAGCTAGAGTTCTGATGAGAATTAAAAAGAGAGATCATATCTCTCCTGTCTTAGCTTCCCTACATTGGCTACCTGTTAAATTCAGAATAGATTTTAAGATTCTCCTTCTCACATATAAAGCTCTTAATAATCAAGCTCCATCATATATCAGTGATCTGATTGTTCCATATGTTCCTAACCGAGCACTTCATTCTCAGACTGCAGGTTTACTGGTGGTTCCCAGAATATCTAAAATAAGGATGGGAGAGAGATCTTTTAGTTATCAGGCTCCTCTCCTGTGGAACCAGCTCCCAGCAAATCTGATGTTAGCCTAGATCTGGACAAGTGGGGGAGTACAGGGAGGTGGAGTGTACAGTCGGTAAAGACGGCTCTCCCTTGCCCTGCCTCCAACATGCCTCCATCTAAATAGGATAGATTATCCAGAGTTATCTCTGTAGTTATGCTGCTATAGGCTTAGACTGCTGGAGGATACACTGACCACTTTTCACACTCTACTGCTTTCTTCTACAATCTGCTCTTTAACTGTATTATTTTCTGCAACTTCAGCTGTTAACTTTATTTTCTCTCTAAATGTTTTTCTCCCCAGAAGAAGCTACAATGATGTTCTGCTGAGCTGTGGTGGCCTCATGGAGGGGGCCATAATCTAGCACACTGCTGCTAACCACTAAAACATTCTCCCTCTCCTGATAATAACTTTTTGCTTTCCTTGACGTTGGATGTGCTACTGCTAGTTTATCCATTTAATTATAGATTTACTAGGATAAATGCAATAAAGTTTATCTCTCACCAAATAGAACATTTACTAAGAAATCACAATTTAGCTATAGACACATTGCTTGGTGTGTGTGTGTGTGTGTGTGGTGGGGGCACTTAACTCTTCTGCCACTGTGACATCATCATCATCATTATCCTCATCATTACCACCATCATCTTCATCCTCATCACCACTACCATCGCCACCGCCATCATCTTCACCATCATCCTCATCATCACCACCATCATCTTCATCCTCATCATTACCACCATCATCTTCACCATCATCCTCATCATTACCACCATCATCTTCACCATCATCCTCATCATTACCACCATCATCTTCACCATCATCCTCATCATCCCTACTATCATCACCACCATCATCATCACCACCACCATCTTCATCATCCTCATCACCACTACCATCACCACCGCCATCATCTTCACCATCATCCTCATCATCACCACCGCCATCATCTTCATCCTCATCATCCCACCATCATCCTCATCATCCCTACTATTATCATCACCACCACCATCTTCATCATCCTCATCATCACTACCATCATCTTCACCACCAACATCCTCATCATCATTACTGTAATTTAACAGGCTCAGTCACACCTCACATCTAATTAGATCATTAGACACAATCAGATCATTTAAATTAAATATTTGAAATTTCCTTTTTTAATTAGTTTTTGAGGTGGCGACACCTGATTTGACAACGTTACTGTTGCCGTGCTCAGGACGCAGATGTCTGGAGCGCGTCAGCGATCAGAGCTTTGCATGAGCAAGCTGGTTAAGGTTAGGATGGGGGTGAGGGGAAGGTTAAACTTTTTTTTTCCGGAACGGCGCTGCTCTGGGTGGCTGCATGTTGGAGTAGCTCTGTTGACTATATGTAAGTTTAGCCTTTTCTTGGGCATTTTTTCTTCTAGTTTCTCAAGAAAAACTGTATTTTTTTGGACGCTTTACTTTTCTGTTTCTGGTGCTGTGAAGCTTGGAGGATTTTTACTGCAATTTTTTTTTAGCTTTTTTCACTTTTTGAGCATTTGTTATGATGCGTAACCATGGCAACAAGCTGTTTACAATCGGGAGCAGCTGATTAACATTGGAAAGGCTGAAATAATACCTCAACTGAAGCCACCAATCCCAAATGAGCTAAAACGCAAGAAGTGTGGCTGCAGAGCGGGAGCAAAACGGAGACAGAGAAAGAGAAAATTCAAACCATCTCTTCCATCGATCATAATGGGCAATGTGAGATCACTGGCCAACAAGATGGAGGAACTCCAAGCCCTTTCATAGACTCAACCAGAGTTTCGGCAGTTTCAGAACCGCTGGAGGAGATAATGCAAAGAAGGATTTTCCAGAGAATCAAGAAAATGATGGACAACCCTGAGCATTCTCTTCACAAGACTGTCCGACAACGGAAGAGTGTCTTCAGTCAGAGGCTTCTTCAGTTTGGCTGCAACACTGACCGCTACTGGAGATCCTTCCTGCCAACAGCCGTTGTAATATACAACAACTCTTTGATGACCTTATTATTATTATTATTCTGAGCTACTACAGCAATCAATTTCCCTCTGGGATTAATAAAGTATTTTTGAATTGAATTGAATTGAAATTGCAAGAGGGTAAAGATCACAATTTGGTTTATTGTCCGTTTTACGGCGGGTGTCAGTACCGACGCGCTGTGCCTCCGCCTCCCGACGTGCAGGGGGTCGTCACCTGCTGTCTTTTCCGAGGACTGCATCTTGTCGGTCATTATCACGTGATAGCGACTAGTCGATGACAGGCATAAAAAGTCACTACAGAGCAGTGAAGCCGACTAGTCGACTAGTTCATACAACCCCTATTTTGTTCTAGAGTCGTTTTGATTGTCAGTTTGAGTTCAGTGAGGTTGAATACAAGTGCATAACTCACCTGTCTATGGTGACCTTCGACCTGGCAGCCGTCTGCAGGTCTTTCTGCAGCGTTGCTTGTCGAGCTCTGACAGATGAAACAAAAAGAAACCGAAACATAAAACCTGGAATCTGCTCAGATCCCAGTTCCACCAGAAGGAGGGAAGTATGACTTTTATATAAAGAGCTCATTCACTGTGTAAGAGGTGTGTGTGTGTGTGTGTGTGTGTGTGTGTGTGTGTGTGTGTGTGTGTGTGTGTGTGTGTGTGTGTGTGTGTGCGTGTGCGCGCACACTTCCAGACACCTGGACCGGCGTTCATTCCGGTTGTTCATGCGGGCTGCGGCTTGATTTTTCAGCTGCAGCATCTTCTCCAGCATCTCCTCCTCCTGCACCTTCTGCTCCCTCAGTTTTGACTCCGCCCACCTTTGGCGCTCCAGCAGAGAGTCATAATCCTCCTTCAGTTTCCTGTTTTCCAAATTAAAGTGATCCACCTGTTTCTGCAGCGTTTGACAAGCATCTGACACACCTCCCAGTCGACGCTTCTCCACCTGCAGGCTGCAAGTGAGAGGAAGAGGAGTTACCTCATCATCATCATCATCGTCTACTGGTCTACAGGGACTGTGTGTAGAGGGACCCGGTCTTTTATGTGAACACTTGTCTGAGCAAAACCTCCCTCAATCGTTTACAGGTGGCTCAGAATGCCTGTGCTCGCCTTCTACCAGGTCCTCCAAACACACCAACGTCACCACATCTTCCAGCTTCACTGGCTGCTGGTTAACTTTAGTGTACATTTACAAATAGGGTAAATTATAAATGGAGTTCTGAGATAATAATCTTGTGTCTGTTCTAGTCTTGTTAGATCTCAGTGCTGCCTTTGACACAGTTGATCACAATGTTCTTGTAGAAAGACTTGAACATGTTGTAGGGATCAAAGGAGCAGCGTTAGGCTGGTTTAAATCCTACCTGTCTGATAGATATAATTCTGTAAATGTACATGACAAATCTTCTTCATACTCCAGGGTTACTTGTGGAGTACCACAGGGTTCAGTGCTTGGACCAATTCTTTTTACTATGTATATGCTCCCAATTGGTAAAATCATTAGACAGCATGGGATAAACTTCCACTGTTATGCTGACGACACTCAGCTATATTTATCCATTAACCCTGATGAACCTAATCGGTTGAGTAGATTACAGGCTTGTCTTGAAGACATAAAAAATTGGATGACTCTAAACTTTTTGCTTTTAAATCAAGACAAGACGGAAGTTCTCATCTTTGGACCAGAAGTCCAGAAAAGGAAATTGCTTAGTCAATCACCTGACCTGAATGGCATTACATTAATCTCCGAGAACAAAGTAAGGAACCTTGGTGTTATCTTCGACCAGGACATGTCATTCAAATCCCAAGTTAAACAGGTTTGTAGGATTTCCTTTTTCCACCTTCGGAATATTGCTAAGATTAGAAGCATACTTTCCTCTGTGTGTGTGTGTGTGTGCTCTGTCTTCTCCATCCCCAGTGAATCATGGTGGATGGCTGCTTATTCCTGTTAAAAGGGAGTTTTCCTCCCCACTGTGACTACATGCTTGCTTAGTATGAGGATAGCTGTAAAGACTCTGACACTAGTCAGTGACTCGATGCAACCTGCTGGGTTCCTTATATAGGAAACATTTTACTGATAGGCTTAATAAACTGACCTGTAGTGGAATGTTTACTGTGTGAAGTGCCCGGAGATGATTGTTGTCGTGACTTGGCGCTATATAAACAAACTTGAATTGAATTTCAAGATGCTGGTTCCGGTTTTTAGGGCCTTACATGGACATCATGGATCTTTTCAAACCCTACACCCCCAGCAGGTCCCTGGGGTTCTGTTACCAAGTCCTACTGGTTGTGCAGAGCACCAGGCTTAAGACCAAAGGTGACAGATCATTTGCTGCTGTGACCCCCCAGACTCTGGAACTCTCTCACAGCAGCTTCACTGGGTCAAAACAAGCAGCCTTAAGGTGAGACAGGTGAGCGGACACGTTCCAGTGCATCACTCACCTGTCTTGTTGGTCCTGCAGGAAACATGTTTTGATTTGAATCTTCTGCTGCAGCTCCACTACCTGGTAGGCCAACTGCAACCACACAGACAAAAGGTCAGCTGCTTCCTGCTGGTGCTGAAGCTGGTTGGTCAGTTTAAAACACCTGGTCCCTCAAGTCAGCAACAGGACAAAACCTGTCTGGCATCATTTGTTCGGTCAAGGCCAACCGGGTTGCTGCTGCAGGACTTGAGACGCTGCAGCAGGTGAAGTCCTGACTTTCATCCAGATGTTCTCACCTCTCCTGTGCTCTTCTTCATCCAAGATGTCTGCTCCTGCAGGGAGGAGAGCGAGCTGCTGCTGTCAGCGCAGTCACGTCTGGGTGAACAAAACAAACACACCCTCAGCATCCTCACACACAGGCAGGTGTGTGGCAGTCAGATCTCAGGTGAGTTACCTGTTGGAGCTGCTCAGGACAGCTTTGGTCAGACTGGTTTTCTCCAGCAGCTGCGTGTCTGGAAGCAGAAAACCGGGTCAGTACCGGACCAGAACCTCACCTGACCCAACAACCCCGAACTCCGTTTAAATTCCGACTGTTTTAGTCACACCGAGTTAACCTAGAACCTGAGCAAGCTCGGTTCGGTTCGGTGAGTAGATGATAGAGTAGCAGCAGACCACACGAGTCAGCCAGCAGAGGAAGTGCACCAACCTGACGGTTCAGCGAGAGAACTACTTCCTGAGCCGGATGCAAACATACCGAGATTCGGTTCGGTTCGAACTGGGGCTGTGTTCTGTGCAGCCGAACCCGACTGAGTTCTAATAAAATCAGATTTAGGGGCTTAAGCCGTTTGTTCCGGTCTGCGGAGCTGCCTGCAGTTAAATGAGCAGATTTTTGAACGGAGTTTGGTTCTGACCCTGTAAAACAAACGAAGACGGGTTCTTACAGAACCGGATCAGGTCCTGGAACATGCTGGTCTGACTCAGGTCTCGGTGCTTCAGCTGCCGGAGGATGTGACTCCTCCAGGTCTCCGTGGACCGCCGGGCTGGATCCATCCTGAATCACCGCGGCCGCGAGCCCCGCAGCCCGGGCCGTGCCATGCCGCTCCCCGCAGAAAGGCGCTGTCAGAGCGGCCTGCTGCTGCTCGAAGACCCGGCTCCTCCTCGGTGTTTGTTTCCTCTTCCGTGGAGTTTGTTTTGTTTTTCAACTTTTTTTCCTTTCTGATTTCACTACGGGGCGGGGCTTAAATGGCTCTCGACCAATCACAGCCCACTCTGAGCTCTTCCTACACAGATTTTAATCAGACCACGCCCCTGCAATCTCACCTGGAAAGGTCGTCGGGGACTTTCACTTTCTGATACCGGTTAGTCTTGCTTCCTCATAAGGTCAGAACTTTATCACAAGCCACTGGTTCTGGTTCCAGGGGCGCCTCCAGAAAATTTTGATAGGGGTGGCCAGACGGGGCCAGAGAAATCTTTGGGGTGGCACACCAAACTGGTCCTTGTGGGTAGCTCTGGGAGAGTTTAGCCTGTGGCGATGTATTGAATTGCTCCTTTATTTGTTTTAATTTTTTTTAAAACAGTACGTATCGAAAACATTTTACGTAAATTTTACAAACACAAACATTTCAGAAAAATAAATTTCAGTTATTTAAAATGTTATTTCTAATTTTATTTTTTTAGTTTAATTCACCTGTTGCTGCATTCACAAAAAGCTACGGAGATAAAAACTTTTTAAAACGGTGTGCAGCAGAAACATGGATTTTTTATTCTGATTATTTCTTTACTCATTAATTGTATTATTTTTATTTTGTTTTACAATTAAATAAGATTTATTTATGGTTTGAGTGAACATTAATATTAATATGATTTAATACTGGCTTTTGCTAGGGGGGCCAGCAATTTTCTTGGGGTGGCGCCATTGTCTGGTTCTGCTGCCCCATGTCACCGACTGGACCCAGATCCTCCACAGCTTCTGGAGCCCGGCTCTGATGCTTTTTCAGGTTTCAGGCGTGATGTTTGCTCCTGGCTCCACAAACAGATAAACAAACCCAAAGCCATCCTGCCTCCAAACATGCTCCAACTCAGAAACTGGAAGCGGTTCTTCTCAGTGTGCTTTTAGCTGAGGTTTGGGTTAACTGATGCCAGGCAGCTGTGATTTGATGGTTTGGATCAGGTCCTGGTCTTGGTTCTGGGACCATGAAGCAGACCTACTCTGATATTTTGGAGATAACATGTTGCGTGCAAAGCGCTTTTGCTGGCAGTTTCTAGAACTGTTTTCTTTTCCAGGTTCAAGTCGCCTGCTACACAGGTGAACCTTCCCTTTTTGTCAGTGATTGGCTGCTGTGTACCTGGTTGCCCAATCAGCTGTGGAGCCTGTCTTTAAATAGCCTACACCTGGTGGAAACTGCAGCCTTTTGTTCTGATCCTGCTTGAGCCCAGAGCTTGTTTTTTCCTGCTCTTTAGTGTAAAGTTGAAGCTGAAGTCCTTTTAAAGCTGGCCGCCAGGTGGACCAGGTAAGATGGGGTACCTTGTACATCTGCACACGTAGTATCTGGATGTCTAAAACACTAGGTAAGCGTGGGTAGTACCTCCCTTGGACTGGTTTTTGAACGCCATTTTGTAGATAAGTTAGGATTTTCTTATTTTTCAAGGTTAAGAGTTGAGTTAAGGTGTGTTTTGTTTTATTTGGTCAACCCACAGGTCCCCTCTTTTCCCCCCGCATTTCTTTTTTTATTAAAATACACAATCGTCAGCAAATAAACTTTCTGCTCATTAGCAGACCGGCCTCCTCAATTATTGTGACTCATGTTGCTTCCCCCATACGCTAGACTGGGTGAAGTTTCTCTTTTCAGGCCTCAAACATCAGAAAATATCGGAAAAAAATAAACAGCTGAAGCTTGCAACAAATCCCAACCCTTTAATGAAAAAACAAACAAGTTTCTGTACAATAAACAGTGACGTGCTGCAGGTAAACCCTTAAAGTGCATTTAGTGTAATACTGAAGTCTGTGTGGCTGGCCGAGGTTCAGGCCCGGTTCAGTTTGTTCTGCGTCATCTGGACCAGCAGGTCCGAGTATTTCTCCAGCAGAGACGCCATCCTGTCGTCCTGCAGCTGACCAGAGGGGGCGCTGCTCCTCCCGCCGCCCAACCGCATCACGTCCTGCAGCTCGGCGTCGACGACGGCAAACGCCTCCTGCAGGATGGACGAGTTCTGGGGACCAAGTTCTGACCCGCAGAGCTGCAGAGACACGGTTCCGACCCGGATGAAGGAGAAACAGAACAAGTCAAACCCAAGGATGTTCTGACTCCTAACAACACTTTAATACTAATGTTGATCTTGTGTCCTTTTCCATATTTCATGTCTGGCAGCTTGAGAGGAATCAGACCTGCTGGTAAAGTGAGACGGCCCGCCTCGCTGCCTGGAGAAGGTCGTTGGCCACCTGCCGACACGTCTGCACGCTCACCGACTCACCTGCACCTGAACACAACAAACACTCAGACCAATATCAAACAGCCGCAGCTGGAACACCTGCTGGATCTCACCTGTCTGATAGGTGTGGGTGTCTGTCTGAGGGGGGCGGGGTCTCTCTGACACACGGGTAAAACAGGAAGTGGGTGAAGCAGAAAGAGACAAAGCAGCAGCTGAAGAAACGAGATAAATCCCATCAGAGAAAGGCAGAAGGAAGGAATCAGCTGGTGCTCCTGGAGTTACCTGGACCCATCTGGACTTGGGGCTGCTCCACACGTGCCCCCACCCCCTCCACAACAGGACAGGTGGTAGGCAGGACTAAAGGGGGGGGGCTCAGGGTCAGTGTTTGGTTCTGATTTGTTGGCGTGTCGTCGGCGCTGCTGCTCCAATGGCTGGAGACATTCTGTGATGTCACCTGAGTGGGCGTGGCAAACAGCTGAGGACTGACACAGAATACATTTTATGATTCAAACTTTCCAAAGATTTTCTGTACTGAAGTCCCTCGAAGACGTTTTCAGCTTGAAGCATCTGAAGTCGGACTTGATTCTGTCCCATCAGGACAGGAGCTCAGGTGGACCTCCTCAGCTTCAGGCCCTTCAGAGCTGCTCTTACTTGCTGGTCGCGGTCTGGGGGTCTTCAGCGTGGACATCTGGACCAGCAGACAGAAGAGGGTCAGAAGAGGACGGGATGTCCTCCTGGTTCTTCTCCAGAGAGGAACTGATGGAGGTTTCCAGATGCGGAGATGTCTCCTGCAGGACCCAGGTTCCTGAGCTGGCTGACCGGGTTCTGGAGGAGACGTCTGATCGGGTCAAGAAACAAGCGGCGTGAGAATGTGCAAACCCAGTTCCAACTCAGGCAGTCAGAGCAGTTTAACATCAAAACACTCAAAGTTAGACGATCGGTCAGAACGTAAAACCCGACACTGAAACAAGTAGAAGTTAAAATGACAAAAGCGTCGCCCCGAATACCTCGTCTAACCTACGCGGCACTTCTATGTTTATTTGTCCTCGTTTGTCCTTCGTTTCTTGAGCTTTTCCATTTTAAGGTGACTCTCACCACTCCCTCAGAACCAGTCCAGTAGTTTACGGTCCTTCCAGGTGCAACAACATCACTTCCTGTTAGCTAAACACGGCTACAGAGACGGGAAGTCTTGATCAGCTGTGATCAAAGTGTAGCGTCATGAAGGTCCTCTAATTTGTGACAAAGGTCACATTTTCCCAGCTGGGTCAGCTGGGTCGACTGTAACTTCGCCCCACAGGTTAAACAAGCGAGGAGCCGTGATGTCTGCTGAAATCATCTTTATCTGCTGCTGTTCCGTCCCAGATTGAAGGACATTAAGATCACATTAATAATTTTTAAATAATTTTAATAAACTCTTTGACTTTATTACAGTTTATACTGAACCAAGAGATTAATTATGATGATTATAATAAATTTATTTTAATTACTGAAATGACTTATGCTTTGGGTATAATAATGATTATGGTTGATGATCGGTTATGTGTGTTCAGTAAACCAGAAGGTCATTTGCACGTAACACGCCTCACACAGAGGGTACCACAGGGTAAAAGTAAACATCATCACACGTCTTTAACTTATGACCAGGGTCCGAAATTAAATTTTTTACTCACCGGCCAAGTTGGCTGGTAGATGATGAAAATCTACCGGCCAAGCATATTTTTTACCGGCCAAAGTTCTAAATGATTTAGATCTACCTAAAGCATGTTATTCTATTTTATGTTGATTCCAAACAGAGTGACAAAATAATTAAAACTTCAATTAATAAGAAAAAAACTCTTGTCATTTTTACTATTTATTTATTTATTGAGATGTTTTTATGAACTCTTTCATTGAAATCTAGTCAGACTCTTTGTTTTCTCTGTCCATGAAGTCTGGCCTCCTGCTTCTGACACCGTCTTTGTGCCAAAGCATTACAGCCTCATTTGGGTGCAGGGTTGTCACGGTAACCGGTGTAGCGGTAAACCCCGGTAAAAAAGTTGACAATGATAACAGTCTTGTTTAAAAAAAATTATCTCGGTGGATTACCGTGGCTGCGGTGTAGGCGCGGTGACCCTTACCAGCCACCGTATCATCTGCTGAAGTTGCCGGCGGCACATGCGCACTTTGTTGTTTACAACCAAAACTTTCTTGAAGCTAAAGCTGAAATAATGGCAGGAGGAGATGGCAGCACTCGGGACATTTATTATCCCTCAAAGAAGACAAAGTCGGAAGTATGGGCATTTATTGGATATTTGAAGAATGCCGAGGGACAGTTGTCTGTGAAAGGCAGCAACGCTACATGGCCATCATAATGTAGCCATTGTCTCACGACTCCGCCATCTCCAGTTCGCCACTTTTCACAAAATCTTCTGGTTGCCACTGGTCCTGGTGGATTTTCTTCCAGTTCGACGAGTTTTCTTTTGGAAGGCTGGCTGACTCCAGTTAAAAACCGCCACATTTCACCGCTAGTTTTAACAAGAAGCTAACTGCTAACTTGATAAACTGATTGAATGGGATAGGTGGAAATGACGTTGGATGCGGCGCTCACGTTTCGCGTACGTTGCATGCAGGCGGGAGGAGTATCAGAAATCCATCGAAGATGACTGATAAACATAACTAATTTGGTGCAAACATTTACTCGCCAAATGGAGCAATTTGCTCGCATTTGGCGAGTGTTAATTTCGGACCCTGCTCATGACCAAAGCTTTCTTGCTCTGAGTGGGCGTGTTCTGAAGGGTTTGTTAAAACTAACTTTCCAGCAGCAAAACTTCAGTTCGTGAACCAACCACCATCACAGGAGACAAGGGAACGGCCGCCCGAATCTCCACCTGCTGTTCTGTCACGCTGATAGAATAGTTTGAATAAACGCACGATAACCAGCTGACGCAAAACTCCTTCAGAGTTATTGATTTTGAGACGCAAATAGTTTCATCAGTCGTGTGACCCACGGAGACATCCCAGGACTGATTTGGTCGCATTGGGGTCCTTCTACCAACCTCGTGCCCGGAAGAAATCATCTCCACCTGACATCTCGGATCCAGGAGGGAGTCTGCTGAAACTGGGTGAGGTGGACACTTTCGACAGATGACGTCTGATGCTGTTTCTCTAAGTAACAACAGTTAGCTGCAAAACCATCATTTCAACCCAGAACGCGCTTCTCTCTCTGAAAGAAACCTTCTGAGAACATTCACGCATCCAAACTCGTATTTCAATTTGGCTTTCATTCAGTCACAGGTTTGCCTTTAAAACAAGTTTAATATCAAAGCTGGTAAATTGTCGTCCATGAATTTATTTAATTGTCATTTCTGAATTGTTGTTTCAAATCGTCAAGTTTAAAATTGTTAGTAATAAATTCTTCATTTTTAAACTTTGCCTCATTCTTGAAATGAAACACAGAATGGTGTTTATTTTTGGTTAATGAAAAAGCAAAGTGTTGGGTATTTTTATAATTGTACCTTTTTGAGGCCTAAAAGATGGCCTACTGTTGCTGTTCATGAAAGGTTGAGCAAGGATGTTGATTGTAAGAAAACTGTACCTCTGTAACCTGAGAAGGCCCGCCTTCTCCCCCATCCTTGGTGAATAAAGCCCCTGACGAACTAGGAGCACACGGGAGTGACGTGGGGAAGCCTCGGAGGAGGTTTCTCTGCATCAACTCTCCATGTTTTGGGGACTCAGGGTAAAATGTCTTCCTTGTTGTCATGTGTGTTTATTTCAGGCTCCAGGGTTATGGAGATTAAATATTACTCAACATTTAATTACCAAACATCTCGGTGGAGGGTAGGCAGAGCTGGTAAGAGCAGAAGGCTGAGGCTAGAGCAGACTAGGAGCTGGATGTCTGGGCCCAGCTTCTGTTGATTCGCCCACATGGACATTACAAATAATCAATTTACTCTCTCTCTCCGGGTGTGTCGTCCTTTAAGGTAATATGGGATAAATCTAATTACCTATCACAAAGATTCCCAACTTCTGATTTAAATAAACTTTTGCTAAGCAAACATCTTTACTGTGAACTAAATTTACTGTGTATCTTCATTCCTTTTGCAGTCTTTTTTCATTTGATTTTTCCTACTGGGAAGTTAGAATTTCCGAGGAGAAAGCGAACGCACCATTAGCTGATAACAAAGGTGGCAATGGAAGCTAATTTATCAAGCTAACGTTATCTTAAACAGTTTATTTAGCTGCTGGAGCAGATTAAAACGATGATGCCTCACACTTAGATCGTTGTCGCTGGTTTCATCTTCACCCAATCACCCGTCACATTTAGTAAAGTGAAGCCAAACTTTAGAGCACGTTCATGTTCTAGTCGGAGATTCGGAGTTCCAAGGAGAAAGCAAATGCACCATTAGCGAAACAGAAGCTAACATATCAAGCTAACGTTATCTTAAACATTTTATTTACCTACCGGAGCAGATTAAGATGAGGATGTCTCCCTTAGATCGTTGTCGCTGGTTTCATCATCACCCAGTTACCCATCACATTTAGTGAAGTGGACCCAAGCTTTAGCGTGCGTTCTTTCTACCATGCTGCTCTGTTTACAACTCGCTCGCAGCGACCGACGACATAACGCTCTTGCGCATGCGCAGCTGTCTAGGCAAGTTCTCGTTATGAAGGACGGGTACCGAAACGAGGCGCCGTTTCAAATGACGTGAATCGGTGCTCGGTCGGTACTATAGAATTCGGTCGGTACCTTTAAAAGTACCGAATTCAGTACCCATCCCTACATGTCATAGATCAACTTTTTGTAAACCAGCTGTTTTTTTACACAGAAGTATTATTCGACCAATCAAATGTAGCCCTTCTGACATGCGGCCAATCAGATGGGTCCGTTCACGTAATACACCCGCCCCCTACGTAGACCGTTAGGATGGAAAGAAACACCCCAACTGAGCAGTGTTGCCAACTCAGCGACTTTGTCACTGTTCCTAACGACTTTTTGACCCCCCTCAACGACATTTTTCCAAAAAGCGCCTAGCGACAAACCTAGCGACATTTCTCAGGACCTGTTGCTACTTTCTGTAGAACTTTCTTGTAGATATTCCCTACAGATTAGCAACAAAGAAACCATTTGCACTCTGAACCGTTCTTCCAGGAGTAAGGAAAGAGAACGATAATCTGCACATGTGCACGAGGACTGACCAATCATAAACCGCTTTCGGCCGGTCTGATTTGCCGACACGGTACAGTTGCAGTTGAGTCTGCAGATTTATGTCTGCTGCTGCTGCAGGCTAACGCTTCTACTAGAGACGGCGCAGGCGTCAACCTGCGATCTCTGGTTCTGCAGCCGTCAGACACTTAGGCTGTTCCTGCATTTGGCAAATAAAGTGAACGGGAGTTTCAACTACCATCCCGTTTACACGCAGCTCTGTGGCTCATGTGAATTTCCTTCAGTGACACAGGGATGGTTATACTATGAGACACCCACTCCCTTTTGCTCGGTGGCGCCGTTATTATCACGATGGAGAGAAAACACAACAGAGGTGCTTTTTAGGAAAATGTCTGTGAGAATGAGGAGAGCAGGAGGTCTGAGTTATATCCTACAACAGAACTGTTTGGATCACCACACCATATCTGTCTTAATGCCACTATTGATACATTTGGAATTTATTGTACATATCAAAGCAATTTGGGCCATTTTAATCATACTAATTAATAACTTTAACACATTACAGTTATTATTTTCCTCCCTTTTAGTCCCATCTATATATATTTAGATGCTATGGGGAAAATGAACGCCAAAGTGGCGTGATGATGTCACCAATATGTAGGGCTGTAGCGAAGCCCCGACGACGTCGACGGCTCGATTCTAAAAATTTGTCGACGTCAGATCCGGAAGTCGACGCACCGCGCCCACTTGTTGCATCCCCAGGAGTTTGTAGATAGAGGAGGAATCTGCATGTTTTTCCTCTAGTTCGCCCTCTTCTCCGCCTTCACTAACATCTCCGCCAAATACCGAAGACCCGGAACAACGTCCGTCCACTACTAGATTATTTTCCTGTGTTGCCCGCCTTCGTCTCCCGGGAACGGACAACAACTTCCGGGGTCAAATGCGCTGCTTCGTCTCTGTCGCAGATGTAGAACATCACCGGGAGCGTTTCTCCCTTCATAAAGGAGCTTCTTTCAGACATTAGGAGAGCTGTTTTGGTGCTAGCAGTCTCTCCTCCATGCTGGTCTGTTTGCTGCTGGGTGTTTTTGGTTTATTTAAACTTGGTAACTTGAACTTAATGCTGATAAAGCTACTGTTAGCATCTTCGCTAACAGCTTCTTGCGTTGGGATAAGCTGTTACGTTTTGGTTTAGAGTTCATCTTTTTTGTGGCGCAGATCTCCCTTTTATTACATTTAGAGTGTTGTGGGTTTTCGGTTTAGTTTAAAATATCACCTTGAGTTTGGTTTAACCGCCCAGTTTAGAGTTTGGACCTTTGGAGGTCCTTATTTTGGTCCAGAACCCCGTAATCTTTGCCCAGTGGGACATCCCTAGTTATTTGTACTTTTGCTTTAATTCCCACAGGCAGAATTAGTTTTATTATTCCCAACCTGCGGATGGAAAGATTTATGATTTTTTGTAGTTGTTGTAAATAAACCTGATCATCATTTTAAGTTTTAAATCCCGTTGTTGTCCCTTCCTTTTTGCACACGAGCCAAACTCCCCAGGAAGGGTCGTAACACCACTCGCCTCACGCTCATAAGTGACCAAAACAAAGCAGCATGGAGACACTCCGTCTTCTACCACCTCTCAGGCAGCAGCCTGCACTCCCAAGTTCTACACGTCACCAGAACTTAACCAACCGCAACACAATAAAAGCAGTGTTATACAAAATGGAAGGCCTGTAGTGTTTATTCTCCTACAGTAAGAATTTATCAATTTTTTTTGAGGAATTTATTTGAGATTTTCTGGTTTTTGTTAATTGTGCAATAGAAAAATAAGATTAATTTTCTAAATAGTCATTAGAATAGTCAACTATTCGATAAAATAATCGTCAGAATAATCGTTTTAAAAATAATCGTTTACCCCCAACCCTACCAATATGTAAATTAGCACGTGACACCATCTGGCGACATCTAGCGACTTTTGGGGGGAACTTCAGCTCCTTCCAGTCAAAAACAGTTGGCAACACTGGAACTGAGTTAGCGGCGCCGTTCCCTTGTTCGTCATGCAGGCTCAGAGCAAAGAACGCACTTTGTGCTGATGTTTCTGGAATCAGCGCTGCTTTCAAACGTGAACGTGAGTCCGCTCGGTGTCGTTAAGCAGCTGATAATAACCGGGCTGACTCAGACACGTGCCGGTGAACCAACCCACCTACCTCCATGTCGCTAGTGTTCCACCGGGTGGTGATGTTAGCCCCAGGCTCCGGTTAGCTTCCAGCTAAAAGGCTACAGCACTCTCCTCCCAGTCCCACCATGCTAAAGAGGGCCTGGAAAAGTTCCCCCACACATCAAAGTGATTTTTCCTTCATGAGCTTTTATAACCTTGTTAATCAGGATAGTTGATTTGCTGCTGCACATAAACTGTCAGTCAGAAGCTCTGCTAGCCGGTTATCTTAGAGGAGCTAGTTCAATGTGTTAGCTTGTTATCAGAATCATAGTTGCAGTTTCATCATCTGAGCTGCTTTTTAAGATCTAGGTAAACTTGTTCAATTTGGGGTTAAAAACAAACGTTTTCACATATTTTCCATGAAGTTTTTTTTTGTCAGTTCCTCTTCTGAAAGGTAGACAATTGTTTTTCTCTTTCCCTCAGAAAATCTTAATATTCTCCTAGTTTGGCCCAGCACACTTCACTTCCCAGTTGCAGCAACAGCCTTATATCATAACCACATAAGTGGAGCAAGAAAGTATTTAGTCAGCCACCGATTGTGCAAGTTCTCCCACTTAAAATTATGACAGAGGTCAGTAATTTACATCATAGGTACACTTCAACTGTGAGAGACAGAATGTGAAAAAAATGCATGAATTCACATGGCAGGATTTTTAAAGAATTTGTTTGTAAATCAGGGTGGAAAATAAGTATTTGGTCACTTCAAACAAGGAAAATCTCTGGCTCTCACAGACCTGTAACGTCTTCTTTAAGAAGCTTTTCTGTCCTCCACTCGTTACCTGTATTAATGGCACCTGTTTGAACTCATTATCTGTATAAGACACCTGTCCACAGCCTCAAACAGTCAGACTCCAAACTCCACTATGGCCAAGACCAAAGAGCTTTCGAAGGACACCAGGAAAAGAATTGTAGACCTGCACCAGACTGGGAAGAGTGAATCTACAATGGCAAGCAGCTTGGTGTGAAAAAATCAACTGTGGGAGCAATTATCAGAAAATGGAAGACATACAAGACCACTGATAACCTCCCTCGATCTGGGGCTCCACGCAAGATCTCATCCCGTGGGGTCAAAATGATCATGAGAACGGTGAGCAAGGATCCCAGAACCACACGGGGGGACCTGGTGAATGACCTGCAGAGAGCTGGGACCACAGTAACAAAGGTCACCATCAGTAACACACTACAACGGCAGGGAATCAAATCCTGCAGTGCCAGACGTGTTCCGCTGCTGAAGCCAGTGCATGTCCAGGCCCGTCTGAAGTTTGCCAGAGAGCACATGGATGATACAGCAGAGGATTGGGAGAATGTCATGTGGTCAGATGAAACCAAAGTAGAACTTTTTGGTATAAACTCAACTCGTCGTGTTTGGAGGAAGAAGAATACTGAGTTGCATCCCAAGAACACCATACCTACTGTGAAGCATGGGGGTGGGAACATCATGCTTTGGGGCTGTTTTTCTGCTAAGGGGACAGGACGACTGATCCGTGTTAAGGACAGAATGAATGGGGCCATGTATCGTGAGATTCTGAGCCAAAACCTCCTTCCATCAGTGAGAGCTTTGAAGATGAAACGTGGCTGGGTCTTCCAACACGACAATGATCCCAAACACACCGCCCGGGCAACAAAGGAGTGGCTCCGTAAGAAGCATTTGAAAGTCCTGGAGTGGCCTAGCCAGTCTCCAGACCTCAACCCCATAGAAAATCTGTGGAGGAAGTTGAAAGTCCGTGTTGCTCGGCGACAGCCCCAAAACATCACTGCTCTCGAGAAGATCTGCATGGAGGAATGGGCCAAAATACCAGCTACTGTGTGTGCAAAGCTGGTAAAGACCTATAGTAATCGTTTGACCTCTGTTATTGCCAACAAAGGTTATGTTACAAAGTATTGAGTTGAATTTTTGTTATTGACCAAATACTTATTTTCCACCCTGATTTACAAATAAATTCTTTAAAAGTCCTGCCACATGAATTCATGGATTTTTTTTTCACATTCTGTCTCTCACAGTTGAAGTGTACCTATGATGTAAATTACTGACCTCTGTCATCATTTTAAGTGGGAGAACTTGCACAATCGGTGACTGACTAAATACTTTTTTGCCCCACTGTAAGTGGAGAAAATGCTCAGTAGCAATGAGAGAATTTGCTGTTGCATGTAAGTGATGTTAACTATTATTTAATATTTAGACTTATTTTCTGATTTTATTTATTCCAAAAACCCTGGTAAGGGATGTTTTCTGTATTTGGAGCATCAGAAAAAGTTTTATGGTGGAGGTGATGTTTTAAAGTCACTGAGAAACTGCATGCATGCAGTTTGTTGTTTTGCTGCTAATACAGCAGCAGGTGCAGCTGCTAATACAGTAGCAGGTGCGGCCGCTAATACAGTAGCAGGTGCGGCCGCTAATACAGTAGCAGGTGCGGCCGCTAATACAGTAGCAGGTGCAGCTGCTAATACAGTAGCAGGTGCAGCTGCTAATACAGTAGCAGGTGCAGCTGCTAATACAGTAGCAGGTGCAGCTGCTAATACAGTAGCAGGTGCGGCCGCTAATACAGTAGCAGGTGCAGCTGCTAATACAGTAGCAGGTGCAGCTGCTAATACAGTAGCAGGTGCAGCTGCTAATACAGTAGCGGGTGCGGCCGCTAATACAGTAGCAGGTGCAGCTGCTAATACAGTAGCAGGTGCAGCTGCTAATACGGTAGCGGGTGCAGCCGCTAATACGGTAGCGGGTGCGGCCGCTAATACAGTAGCAGGTGCAGCCGCTAATACAGTAGCAGGTGCAGCTGCTAATACAGTAGCAGGTGCAGCTGCTAATACAGTAGCGGGTGCGGCCGCTAATACAGTAGCAGGTGCAGCTGCTAATACGGTAGCAGGTGCAGCTGCTAATACAGTAGCAGGTGCAGCTGCTAATACAGTAGCAGGTGCGGCCGCTAATACAGTAGCAGGTGCAGCTGCTAATACAGTAGCAGGTGCAGCTGCTAATACAGTAGCAGGTGCACCTGCTAATACAGTAGCAGGTGCAGCTGCATGTTTTTGCAATAAAAACGTTATGTTGTAATGGAATTCATGCATTAGTTGTTGTTTGCTTTGAACCCAGAGCAGACGTCACACGCCAGACGACATCAACACTGCATACTTTAGTATTTGTTCATTTATCGTGAGTAATATCGATATCGCAACATTAAGCGGTGTTATCGAATATCGCAGGTTTTCCTAATATCGTGCAGCCCTAGCTCATATGCTAATGTGCTTGATCATTCTCAGGATCCAACAACTGATAGCAAACAGTGTTGATTCTAGTATGTCGAAATACGCTACATAATGATGGGTTGGGTTCTGGACTGTACACGTGGTATCGGTTCTGAGGTTTGACGCACCGTCTCCTCCACCCTGGAGGTGGCGCTGGTGAACACGGCAGTCCAGAATCATGATTTAGTACCGTTCTGACCATAATCAACATTATTCATGAAACTAGATCAAACGTCAGACTTGCCTGAATTCCTGTTGGTTCCTTTCTGGACAGAATCCTCAGAGATGGAGGCAGGAGGCGGAGCTCGGACAGGCCACGCCCTAAAGCACAGCAAAATGTCACCGTGATGAGTCAGCGGCAAGCCTCTGGGGATTGTGGGTAAGCAGACCTGACTCTGTCCTGAAAGCGGGACAGGAAGCGTGCAGAGATGCTGAGTCGGGGGTTCAGGAAGTGCGTCTCCTGAGGCTGCAGCGTGGTGAGGTCCAAATCAAACCGCTCTGCAGAACCAAGCAGAACCTTCAGTCAGAACCTTCAGCAAAGCAGACCTTTGAGGATGAGTGCTTCACACCTTCGCTCAGACGGGCCAGAGTCTCAAAGTGGTTCTTCACAGAGTTTTTGTCTTCGTCTTCTTCTGGACCCAGACTGTCCACAGAGCTGTCCTGGCTCAGAGAGTCAGAGTCTGAGACGGCATCAGCTGCAAGTCAGACAGGATACTGGGGTCATCTCCATGAGTTCTCACACCAACACCGCCTCCTGAACCCTGACCCCAAACTTCCACCATCCCCGCCCCCGTCTTCTGCAGCCGCTCGCTTCCGAACTCAATTTTTACTGCTACCCGCTCTACAACGGCTCCGCTCCGGTACGGAGACCTGAGGTGGGCAAACAGGCATGCGCGGGATTTTCGAGATCTTGCGATACAGTCCGAGCAATAAACGCGGAAGTAAGATCCAAACACCCGTTGTGTGGGAGAAGCATCGGAATGAACTGTTTAATCTGCCCATCATTTGTGTTGAGAGATCAGCAGTGTTTGGATCAACAAAGTGTGACTGCTTTGACAGTAGAAACTGTATTTATGGCTTATTTTTGTGCATTTAAAGTTCAACCGCCATTGATAGTAGTTAAAAGTTGTTAAACCTGTGCATATGAAACAAAAAACGCTTTTTGTTTATCGATTTATTGTGAAATAACGGAAGTTGTGCTTGCTCCTTTTCCTGTTGGGCGGTTGTGATTCCTGTCCATTGACTGCGGAGGTGCTCCGGCGTCCCGGATGGCGGAACGGCCATGCGGCGCAGAGCGCCGCCCGCCCGCAGTAGTGGAACACCTCTGCAGCAAAAACGGTCCCGTTGTAGTCAGTCAGAGTTCGTGCCGGAGCGGAGATAGTGGAATTTTGGGGTGAAGAGAACATCGAGTCCTAAACTTGAATGCTGGGCTCTGGAAGGCGAAGCTGCATCTCCAGTTGGGAGATCTTGTTTCAGAGGCTCCCAGCAGATCTTTGGGTTTATTTGAGGTTCTAACAGCAGAACAGGACAGGATATCTGCAGGTTTAAGGGGGACAAATTTAAGCGAACTTCCAGCTATTGCCTGGAACCGGTGCTAACCACGTCGCGAACATGGGATTAGCCATCCATTACCATTAAACTTGCACTTCCCCATGGCGCAAGCTCCCACTAGCTTAACCAGCTAATGTGCTCATCTAAAAATAGACCCCGTTCACAACCAGCTGAACATGTACGGTTCCGCTTACGCCAACATCACACACAAATGCTGAGCACCAACTAGAACTTCACAAATTTTATAGAAATAAAAGAATCGTGTTTATTGGGTCTTTGGTAATTCAAGACCTTTGGAAACTGTATTTAAGGATTATTTGTCATTTTTAGGGCCTTAAATTTGGAAAAGCTAGTTTAAGACTTTAAGGACCCGCGGAGACCCCGCAGGAGGCACAGCTCTGTTCTCAGGCTTCTCTGCGGTGGAACCAACTTCCGGCCGTCAGGCAGACGCCTCGCCTAAATAGGACGGATTATCCTGGCTCATCCCTTTAGTTATGCTGCTGAATGCTCAGACTGCTGGATGTTATGATGCTTCAGTCTGATTGGCCGGTTCGGATAACGAGTACCCGGGCTTCAGAAAGGAACAGAACTGAACAGACGAACTCTGACCCGCATCGTGCTGCTGCTGCTCCGCACTTCCTGTTGAACCCTCAGACCACGCCGAGTCCGGACTCAGATGGGTTTTCCACATAAGCCCCGCCTCCTGGCCACTGCTCTCCAGCTGGGTGTGGCGTTTGGTGATTCCCTCCACTCTAAAGTCTCTGCAAACAGAAAGTCTCAAGAACCGAACAGAAACCCAGAAGGACTGACTGCAGACTCAGAATTCACCTGTCTGAGGAGGCAGAGCTCGAGTCCATGGGGAGGATGAAGGTGCTGCAGTCTTCATCCGTCATCAGCGGCACCTGAACATCAAAGACAGACATATTCAGACAGAAAGCTTCCTGTCTGAGGCGCTCCCTGGACTGAGGCTCTGCATTCTCACTTCCTGCTGCTCCTCCTCCTCCTCGTCTTCCATCAGGCTCTCCATACTCTGAGGCTGGAAGATGTCGTATTCCTCCTCCTCCTCCTCCTCTGGACTCCTGATGGGACTTGGGGTGAAGCTTGAGCAGATTGTGAGAGTGTCCTGCTGCTCCGCCCACCGGCTCCGTACCTGGCAGGTTCCAGCTTCTGATTGGACGAATGTTGAGGCTTTGCTCTGGTTCTGAAGAAAAGGAGACATCAGGTCCATTAATCCACACAAGGACTGGTCCAGCTACACACAGACCCAGGAGAGGACTGACCAGCTTCCTGAACCACATGGGCATCTTCCCGTTAGTCTGGAGCAGAGGAGTCACTGGAAGAAAAAAAACGTCAAATCAGAACCATCGACTCGGTAATCCGCAGACATGCAACAGACCAGGACCGCAGTCTGAACCAAACGATCCGACATCACCGAGTTCATCTGCAAGTCTTCCTCACCAGGAGTGGGGTCCTGTCCTCCTGGAGTCCTGGGCTCAGCCGTTTCCTGCTCCTCCTCCTCCTCCGTCTGAGGCAACATGATGAAGGTCTCCCTCCTGAAACCAGAACATTATGAAACAGCTGGAGCGCAACACCTCCTGCTCTGACTCGCGTCGCTCACCTGATGTTCGGCTGCTTCTGGGTCTGAGGCGCCTGAGGAACTCGGAGGCCGCGCCTCCTCCTCATGGTGGTGATCATGTGAGAATCCAGCCGCCACACGAACACACAGCTACACAAGCACACAGCAGATAAGCCGTCTGAGCTGCAGGAGGCGCTGGAAGCAGCGTACGACGCGAGGAGGCTCACCTGTCTCCTGACACGGAGATGAAGTGTCTGCAGTCCGGGCTGAAGCGCATGCAGGTGACGATCTCTACGCAGACCAACAGGTAAACAGAGTCATCAACAACAGCTGGACTGAGATCGACTCAGTCTTCTCGTTCTGGTACCGTGCCCTTGGGTTGGGTTCAACCCGTCTGACTCACGCACCTGAGTGACCCGACAAGGTGGCGACACACTCGCCAGACTCGTAGTCGAAGATGGTGATGGTTTTATCGGAGCAGCTGGTGGCAAAGAACGACCCGGATGGATCCATCTGGACCTTCAGCAGGGCTCCTTCGTCGCTGGACGAACCCTTCAGAGTCTTCGTCAGCTTCCCGGTCTCCACGTCGTAGACCCTAGTGGACCACAGCAGCTGGTCGGCACGCTTCAGCAGCTTCTATTCCGACAGCCGACGAACTTTAGATGGTTCTACCTGATGTTCCGGTCCTGACACGCGATGGCCACGTGAGTTCTGGAAGAGTCCAGGTCCATGTCATACAGAGCAGTCTTCTCCACCAGGTGGTGACGCCTGGAGAACATCAGGCCATCCTCCACCTGAACCACAACACAAGCTTCAGAGGACCACAAGGGAACATTCTAGGTTCTACTGTCACCTGGACCCGGTCCGCAGAAAACAGAAGCCCTCACCGGGTTTTCCCGAAGGAGTGCGAGAGAGAAACAAGTCGAAGACACACAAGAGCAGCGAAAGAAGAAGCAGAAAGCACAATAAAGAAGTCAGCCGTGACAGATCACTGCACAAGAGAAACCATGTAATGGACTGGGACAACACACGGATCATAAACACCGAACAACAGAAATACAAAAGATGGATAAAGGAAGCTATCGAGATAAGGAGACGTGGATGTGGGACCATGAACAGGGACGATGGGGTCTACACGTTGGACCGCGCATGGGACTGCATCGTCGGAGAGGGGAGAGCGGGCAGCAGGGGGCGACAACGTCCTCTGCTGCCCGCGGATAAACGGAGAAGGAAGTGACGCCACCATCAGCGTCAGCCGGAGGAAGCCTGCAGCCGCCGGCGAAACGTAGCGACAAAACAGGTAACGAAACCGTTTCTGTGTTTTAAAAAGAACGACAGCATGGAATCAAGTGATATTTTAAACTAAACCGAAAACCCACAACACTCTAAATGTAATAAAAGGGAGATCTACGGCACAAAGAGATGAACTCTAAACCAAAACGTAACAGCTTATCCAAACGCAAGAAGCTGTTAGCGAAGATGCTAACAGTAGCTTTACCAACGTTAAGTTCAAGTTACCAAGTTTAAATAAACCAGCAGCAAACAGACCAGCGCGGAGGAGAGACTGCTACCACCCAAACAGCTCTCCTAATGTCTGAAAGAAGCTCCTTTATGAAGGGAGAAACGCTCCCGGTGATGTCCTACATCTGCGGTGGAGACGAAGCAGCGCACCTGACCCCGGAAGTTGTTGTCCGTTGCCGGGAGACGAAGGCGGGCAAAACAGGAAAGGAACCTAGTAGGGGACGGACGTTGTTCCGGGTCTTCGGTATTTGGCGGAGATGTTAGTGAAGGCGGAGAAGAGGGCGAACTAGAGGAAAAACAGGCAGATTCCTCCTCTATTTACAAACTCCTGGGGATGCAACAAGTGGGCGCGGTGCGTCGACTTCCGGATCTGACGTCGACAAATTTTTAGAATCGAGCCGTCGACGTCATCGAGGCTTCGCTACAGCCCTAGCTGGTGGTTCTGATCAAACAGGAATATTTGGCTCAGTCCCTTCAGAGATGTTCTGACCTGCTCAGCACTCCGGAAGTAGATGCTTTTGTCGGCTCCGCAGCTCACCAGTCGCACCTCTGGACCCTCACCTGTAACACAGGTAACGCAAGACAAGACCTCAACGTCCAGCTTTCCCGTCCGGTAGGTAAACGGGTAGAATTCACCCCGTCTCCCATCTTCGGAGTTGGTCCAACTGAACAGAACTAAAAAGTCCAGACATTTAAATCGCCCACAGCCCGTTTGGGCGGCCCGCTGGGTGTACCCGCAGCACCTGCCCAGGGCCTGACTGGACCACCTGTCTTACCCGTGAACTTGACAGCTGTGATGGAGGCTGAATGGTCGTTAAGCGTCTGCTCCAGGCTGTAGTTCTTCTCCAGGCTGAAGATGTGGATCAGTCGGTCTCTGCTGGCTGAAGCCAACAGCTTCACACCTAAAAATATCACAGCAGGATTTCAGATTAGAGTGAAAATGCTCCTCAGCTTTGAGAACCTGGAGCACCTGTTGGTCTGTACCTGTGGAGGGAGGAGAGAACTCCAGACACAGCACGTCCGAGTCGTGAGCTTCGATATTCACCAACTCGTCCAGGAACTGCAGACCAAAGATCCTGGAAACAGGAACGGTGTCAGCAGAGCTCAGCGTGTGTGTGTGTGTGTCATAATATGCACGCGTCTCACCGCAGGTTTCCACAGCGATCTCCAGCTGCCAGGTGCTGTCCATCTGGACTGATGGCCAACACCCTGATCCCCGCCTTCCCATCAGCCCCGGCTGCTTCACTCCTCTCCCCCACATACAGGATCCTCAGCAGGTCCTGGGATGGTAAATGTAAGTGATGTAATACCTTCTGGAGTTGTTCAGCCCCTCAAGGCACTTTACAACCCCACCAGTCAGTCACCCTCTACACACAGGTGATGATGAGCTACAAGGTAGCCACAGCTGCCCTTTGGCGCACTGACGGAGCACAGGTGACCGGTCCCGCAACCCTCCAGTGTCACAGGGAGGCGATCAACTCCTCTGCTACCATCATGTATAAAACCACGAGGGAGCCCCGCCTGCAGCTATGAGAATAGACTCGTGTCGCCTGCCGGTCCTACCTGGCTATAGAGGTTCTGGCGCAGGGCGGGGGGGTCGGCCTGCCACAGTCTGATGGTGTTATCGGATGAACAGGTGAGAAAAGAAGTCGGGGGCAGGCAGGCTGAAGACGGTTGGGGCAGTTCAGGGTACACCTGTTTGAGGCAGAACAGACGTTCCCTTTAGCTGGTGGATGCTAGCATGCTAACAGGATGTGGTCTCTCTGATGCTAACTGTTAGCTTTATGTAAATGGGTCGTGCTTCTATGGCAGACAGAACCCAACAGAACCAAATGTTTTACGACAGATCCTCCAACATGCGATTCTGGATCGTTCACATCCCAGCCACACGCCAACATCCGAGCGGGTTGGACGCGGCGGTCCGTTATCCCGACGCCTCACTGACCTCCACGCTCCACACGCAGCCACTGTGGTACAGAGCCGAGTACAGCTTCCTCACGCTCCCCATGTCTTTAACGTCCCACACGTACACACTGTGGTCGCCGTACACGCAGGTCAGGCGCTGGCCTCGGGGGTCAAAGGTCAGTGCCAGAGTGTCTGGGTGTCGAGGTTCTGAGCTGGCAGGCAGGTGGCTGCTGGGATAACAGAGCGGTCAGGTGTGATCTCTCGGTGTGCGAGCCGCGTGCGATCCAGACCCGTTACCTGTGTGGGGGGTTCTGAGTGACGTCCACCCCGAGGCAGTGCGGCCGCTGCAGAGTGGTGATGTACTCGAGGTCAGACGGTCGGAAGACTCGGACCAGGCCGTCGGCACAACCGCAAAAAATCCGATCCTCGTCGACTTCCAAGCTGCTCGCCGTCGACGTCTGTCAACAACAAACGGAGCAGACGAACACGAAAACAACGTTAAGAAAGAAGAGTCGACTCAACTCATCAAAATCAGCTGTTCTGGACCCCCCTCCCCCCTCCGGGTGCGTCTCACCTTAAGGTTGACCCAGGCCCCCAGGTGTCGACTGCTGTTAAAGAGACACAGCAGTCCGGAGCTGGTGATGCAGTAGGTGTTGTTCGCCATTAGGCCCCGCCCACACGCCACTCCACAGAAGATGTTGTCCTTATGGTCATCTAGCAACCCTGACCTGCCAATCAGAGGAACTGTGCTGTTCACCTGAAAAAACGAGGAGGTAAGAACAAACGGGATCACAGTTGCGACGGACCAATCAGGTGTAAGGTAGCTACCCGCCGCTCTCTGGAGGCATCCAGGTACCAAAATTTCACGTGTCTGTTTCCCGCGGTGACAAAGTAGCTGTCGTCCTGAGAGAAGGAGACGGACATCACCCTGCTGGAGACCTTGTTGGAGGCGACGATGGAGCCTTTCTGTTGGGGGGAGACGAGACAGAGTGACCCAGATCCTGATAACACTCACGTTCATTTATCAGGACCAGATAGGGCTGGGCAATAAATCAAAAATTCATCGTTGTCGAAATTTCTGACTCTTATCGAGATAATTTTCCTTGTCAATAGATTTGATAAAAAAATGTAAAGATGTGTGAAGGGTGGCCATGTTCATGTCCCTTTAAGAAGCTGTACCACCTTGATGTGACAGCGCCACCTAGTGGACAACTTATTTCTGCGCATACCTGTAGTTATCGCCCATTTATCGTCACCGAGGTGAAATCCTAAATATATCGTAATATTAATTTTAGGCCATATCGCCCAGCCCTAGGACAGGAGCACCTTCCCCAACCAGAACCAGGAGTCTGACTGGATCCTCCCCGGCGATGGCGCTCACCCTCCAGTCCCACACGCTGACGATCATATCGTGTTGGAATCCCACAGAAACGACATAGCAGCTGTTGGAAGAGAACGCCACGCAGGAAACGCCATACTTATGAGACTGGACCTCAGCCACCTGACCTCCACCCACCTCCCAAACCCGCACACAGGGCATGTGACCGCTCTGAAACACACACACACACACACACACAGTCACTTTACCTCCCTCACCGGTTTAATTACTGAAACACGTAGACTGTTGCTTCTGAGCTAAAAAGACGAGGAGTCAGGTGTGTTCATGGAGACCTCACCTCTCCAGAGACCAGGTGCTTCCCATCGTGAGAAAAGGCCAGGGCAGTGAAAGGCTTACTGGACGTGTTGATGATGTGACTCTGTTCGTTGTTCTCCGGGTGAAGCAACACAAGGACGCACCTGAAACACAAACACTTCCTGATCATCAGAACACTGACGTGACGTAGCTCATCCCTTGAGTTAGGCACCGTTCTCTGGGTAATTCATATGGGCCATTCCCATCTGTACCGGGTCGGCCCGGGCCGGGTAGTCCCAGTCGGCCCCAGCCTGGCCCGGTTGATTCCACACATCCTTGTCTTAAGCCCATGTGGGCTGATTCTACCCACCAATCAGAGGCTTGCTCTAATGGAAGGTGTGAATTTGCTGTCAGCAGTGGGCGTGTTGGCCCTGGTCGGCCTGAAGCAGTACCCCTCGGGAAGAGGGCCGAGAATGAGCCTTGGTTGGCCCGGGAAAATTCCAGGCCACCCAGATATGTAAACAACCTACGCTACCCGGCCCGGGCCGACCCGGTACAGGTGGGAATGGGGCTAAAGATCGGTTGCCAGCACGAGTCTCCATCAGGCACCCTCACCCCCAAAATTAAAGTGGAACAAGAGAGGTGGTGCTTACCCCGCAGGATAGGCAATGAGTCCAGAGTTGGGGTCAGAGGTCAAGCTGCTGCTGCTGACCGTACTGATACCAAGAACCTTCTCCAGGCTCACCTAGAATAACACACATTTCATGACGTATTCACGTTACAAGTTGCAAAAGTCCAAACGTGAAGGTGTGGACAATTTCCAGTTTGGCACGCGACAGAAGTGGAGTCAGCTTGGCAGCGTTCCTGAGATGATGGAAGTGTGAACCAGAGAACATGAAACCTGTGTGTGTGTGTGTGTTGCTGCCTCTCGGCCAATTCGTCGACTCGTCTGGTTAAATAAAAGGACGACGAGATTTAATTTAGCCGGGGACGGACTAAAAATCCGACTTTAACTGGCTCATCCCTTGAGTTGGAAGACTCTTCCTTAGTTTAAAACATTCCTCTGATAATGTTGTGGTTTGAGAACAAAAACTGGGACAGAAATCCATTAAAATTCAAAATCCAGTCAGTAGCTGGGCTAACCTGAACTTCATTTATGTAAAAATAACACAAACTGTCATGTTTTGCTCAAATTAGATATTTTAATCTTATAGAAACGGGTTTTAGCTCGTTTCCCAGCTAGCCGGTTTGTTGTTTTAATGTTTAAACATTAGCTTGTTGCTACGAACTAATTTTTTTCCGTCACTGATTGAATGATTTGAACTTAAAAGATGTTTTATTTTATTAAGATGGAATTAAGTTTCACTTCGGTCAGGTAACGTAAACACCTCCGGCTTTAGGAGGAACTTGCATTAAACATAGCGGGCTAACGGAACCACCCAGGGCTAACAGTTAGCTCAGGCCATACCCGGCTGCTGGAGCTTCTCTGCCCGCTCTGGCGGCTCTTCCTCCCGGCCGGCTGCCTCCTCCTGGCAGCGATGAGCGATCCGAAGTCCGCTCTGTCAGCCATGACACCCGCAATAATGAGAAGACAAAATATAAGGCTTTTCCTCCGCAACGAAAAACAAAACAAACGCTGATAGCCGTTCAGGCCCACAGCAAAAGCGGTTTAAATGAAATCTGAAACTTCAGTGGGCGGCGGGACGGCGGTTCAAAATAAGCCCCGCCCAAAGCTGGTACAATCAGCCAATCAGAAACCGAGAATAGTTTCTCTGACCCCAAACAGCTAATGAGCAAGTCGGAAATGAGAAAAGGTCCGCCCTGGTTTTAATGGTAAAACCTGAACGTTATAATAACCATAGATAGATATGTATGAACAAATCTATAATAACTCTACCGCAGCGGACTTATTGCTCAGTTTGACCTCCAGAAAAGGTCAGTTGGATGTTTTTTATACTTTCATTTAAATCTGATAGAACAAAAGAGCTTTTTGAATATAGAAAACCTTATTTTAAATTTAATCTGTTAACAGATTTTTTTTTTTTTTTTTTTACAGTTGGGAGGTAAATTCTCTCAGTGGACACCAGTCAGACTTTTCTGTTTCTGCTTCAGCTGTAAGTTGGGGAAAAGTCCAGAACCTGGTTCAGCTGAGAGAACCGACAACACGACCACTCAGAGATGATTCCAGATCAATTTTATTACAAATTCCACTCAGGAAAAAAATTCAACAAACTCAAAAGAATCAAAAAGTTCAAACAGTTCTCCCTCAGGTAGTGTTCAGGCCTGGTACCAGCTTCTGTTCTGATGATCTGATGGGGACACATTTACATCTGATCACTCAGACTGAAGAGATTCTGAGTGGGTGACTGAGGGGCCAGTTCTGCATTAGCTGGCCCAAGGACAAGGTGGCAGGAGGGACATTTGATTACAGAAGGCTTTGTTAGAACCAGAACTCCCATGGCTGCAGAACCCAGTAGAGGGCTCTGACACCTGGAACATGGCATCCATCAGAACAAAGAAAACCCAGTTCAGTTACTTCTAACGGAGCCACAAAGCTTAAAGTGTTTCGGCATGAAAAGTTTTTAGTGCAATGAGGGAAACGTTCTGCTTGACACTCAGAACTGGCTGGTACTGACCCAAAATCACGACTTAATCTGGGTTTAACTCTCAGGTCCAAAACATCACACAGCAGGTTTTGTGTTCTCCGGCTGTTCAGATGAATCTGAACTTTAGAGGAGTCGGGTCCTGGGCCATCAGATGGAGTTGCCCCCCCTTTAGGCCATCTGTGTTGGTTCTGATGTCACCGACCCTTCCCTTTTTCTCCAGAACAAAAAAAGACATCTCACCTGTCCATATAAATAATAAAATTAAAAACCTAATCATCAGAGTATGAAAAATAAAAAAATGGAAAACAACAAAAACAAACAGAACCAGAACAGACTGATACAGCAGAATACTGGTGGTTCTAGAGCAGAGAAACAACTAAAACATCCCTGGAGAAGGGAGTTGCCTACCCCTGATCTAGAAGGTGTCTAAAGCCCCATTCCCACCTGTACCGGGTCGGCCCGGGCCGGGTAGCCCCAGTCGGCCCCAGCCTGGCCCGGTTGATTCCACACATCCTTGCCTTAAGCCCATGTGGGCTGATTCTACCCACCAATCAGAGGCTTGCTCTAATGGAAGGTGTGAATTTGCAGTCAGCAGTGGGCGTGTTGGCCCTGGTCGACCTGAAGCAGTACCCCTCGGGAAGAGGGCCGAGAATGAGCCTTGGTTGGCCCGGGAAAATTCCAGGCCACCCAGATATGTAAACAACCTATGCTACCCGGCCCGGGCCGACCCGGTACAGGTGGGAATGGGGCTAAAGTTGAGTTCACTAGAAGAGACATTACAATGTCTCCCCCTGGTGTTCACCAGGGGGAGACACCTCAGATTTCTGGGACTTATTAAGACAAAATGAGAAGACAGATGAAGGAGGTTGTTTTGAATTCTGTGTTGATGGATCTGGATCCAGTCACAACTCTGCTGACTGCTAAGTCCAGCAGAGAAGCATTAAGGCAACATGGTGAGTGCAGTTCTGATGAATCTGGTCCTGCAGGTCAGACGGGGCCTGGGACACACACAGTGGGTCAGAGACGGAGATCAGTCGCTGGAGGGCTCCCGACTCGTTTCTTCGGCGGTTTCACTTCACAAACTGGGAGATGATCTCGTAGCAGCACAGAAGGTCCAATCAGTACCAAACACTTCATTCACTCCAGAGAAACAGTTTAGATGAACTCAGAATTTCCCTTTGATGATGTTCTAGTCTCATTAGTGGTGGTGGTGGTGGGAGGGTCAGACAGGTCAAACTGAAACGCCACCGCCTCTCATTAAAAATGTTCCTTTAGATTTTTGGGCGGGTTCTGGTGTACCTGGGCCCGGCTGACTTCATGACCGGAACACATGCACAGCCCGGATGACGTACTGGCGGCAGATGGGACACTCGCTCATCCTCTTCCCACACTTGGTGCAAGTGACCATGTGACCGCATTCCAGCAGGACGCAGTCGATGGGAGAGTCCATGCAGATCTTACAGAGGTTCTCCTCCAGGCCCGGTGGCGCTGATCCGTGACCGCTCTCACTACAGTCTGCAGGAGGACAAAAGCGGGACACACAGTCCCATCTGATGCTTTAGAAACTGGAAGAAAGCTGATAGAAAATCAGAAACTCACCTGCAGCATTGACCAAGGTCACAGCTAAAAGAGGAGACAAATGACATCACTAGGACATCATCACTTTTCTAGCTAAACTCATTTAGCTGGAATTAAAGTCAACTAAATTTCATTGATCTGAGCCAGTCAGGTGACACACTGATCACCTGATCAGGTGACTGTCTCACACTGATGTTGATAGTGCGTCCTCACTAAGGGGGCGGAGCCTGAAAGCTGCTTGATAACTCATCACTTTAAGAGAGAACGTTTAAATTCGTTTGTACTTTCATTCCGTGTTTTTATTCGTAATCCCTTTCTTGTTCTATTCTTACAGTTTAGTAAAAATAGTTTTTTTTTTACCTGACGTGTTTCTCTCGCCATCACCAGAGATCGCCGGTGTTGGTGGCGTCACTTCCTTTTATCCATACTAAAGATGGATCAAAGAAGCGATAGAAAAAAGAAGACGTGGGCACAAAACCATGAACAGAGACGATGGAGTATTCACATTCACACATGGGAAAGTGTCATCAGCAAGGAGGACGCGGGCGAAGGGCGACACCGCAGATAAAAGGAACTGACGCCGCCAACTAGGGGTTGTATCACCTAGTCGACTAGTCGACTTCACTGCTCTGTAGTGACTTTTTATGCCTGTCATCAACTAGTCGCTGTCACGCGATAATGACCGACAAGATGCAGTCCTCGGAAAAGACAGCAGGTGACGAGCTCCTGCACGTCGGGAGGCAACGTGCTGTGCCAGAGCGTCGGTATCTGACACCCGCGGTAAAACGGACATTTCACCGAATTGTGACCTTTACCCTCTTGCAATTTAACCTTCCCCTCACCCCCATCCCAACCATAACCAGCTTGCTCATGCAAAGCTCCGATCGCTGATGCGCTCCAGACATCTGCGTCCTGAGCACGGCCACAGTAACATTATCAAATCAGGTGTCGCCACCTCAAAAACAAAATTAAAGGTGCATTATGGAAGTGTGACAGCCAAAACATGTATAGAAATAATAAATGTCTTCTTCATACGTTCTCTTGCAATGCCCTGGTTTTGTAGAATGAGCCCTGGCATTTTTACTGTGATTGCCTGTTTTTCTGTAAAATCACAGAAAAAGAGAGATGCTCGGGTCGAGCAGGCTGCTTCATGCGCGTTCACGCTCAGGCATCGCCCTCCAAACCGTTCTTTGAACGTTGATTCAGCTGTCATCAAGGATATAAAAGTTACAGATACAAAGGATGTCACTGGTGCTTTATATCACCTAGTAAGATGTCGGACTCTCGTGCAGAAGACCTGGGTTTGATTCTGGATGTGAACATAGTTCATTTAGAGTTTATTTTTTACATTAATGGTATATTTTTTTTACAGTAAGATGCCCAAAATTGTTTTTTGAGACTCGCCGAACGGCGTTGAATTCACAGATAAAAAAGATGTGGGTCCAACTTTCATTTTGGAACAATTTTTCAAGCAAGGGAAGGGAATGATCTGAGCATGCAGGAGGACTGACCCATCATAAACCTTTGTCGGCTGTGCTGAAGGGAAAGGTACAGAACCAAATTATTTAATTAATTAGCTGCGCATTCTCCTGTCCTCTGGCCTCCGGGCCAGTTCGCCGTTTCTTCACTGAGAACGATGAAGGTTTGCTGGATAAACTCCATGAGTCGGAGCTGAGGAAGGCCTTCAGCATGTTAATCGTTAAGTTCTTTTGAACAAGCTTACATATTTAACTATTCCAAGGGAAAAGATAAACTGGTTTACATCATGGTTATCCAAAAGATCTCAAAGTTGGACGGTAATAAATCCTGCTACCTTAATTACAATGCTGGGATACCACAAGGTTTAGTTCTGGGACCCTTGTTGTTTTCAAAATGATCCGACAGTTAGCCCTGAACTGAACCTCCTGGGGCCCTGCATCCACGTATGTGGACACCAGCTCCTTGCACTCTAAAAATTGATTATCTTCTACTTAGACCTTCATGTCATAATTTATAGACACTTGATATTGACTTAAATTTTACCTTTATTTATTCATTTCTTTTGGATGTATTTCTTTTTTAGGATATTTGACAACATTTTTATAGATTTTTTATTGTATTTTAATTTTTGTAATTTAGTTTCTGTTAATTACAATCAACTAATCTGTAATAGCTAGAAATGTTTTTTTTCTGTTAAATCGCACCAAATTCAACTTTGGGTCACAGGAAACAATAATGTATACAGATGATGCCGTGATTTCTGTCCAGTGAAAGGACTCTAGAGCGAAACCCTGAACACGCCTCGTCAAATATTTTAAAATGGCCCGGAGAACAATGTCTGACACCACAAATAAACTGTCTGATGTTCACCAAAAACTGTAAAAACCAACATCCATACATCCATTTTCATCCACTTGTCCGGGGTTGGGTCGGGAAATTAGCTTCATGCTAAATCGAGAGTATTTACGACATCATGCACTTTGATTAAAAGGACCTTACGGAGTTTTGAATTTTTATGCTCGCGATTGCCCCCTCAGGCCAAAAGCGTAACGGCAGCTTTAATAGTAGGCTCGTGCACAAGGCGCGCATTCTGTACGTGCACACTCCTTAACGAAAATAACAGCTGAGACAGTCCTGTGTGTGTGTGTGTGTGGTGGTGGTGGGGGTGGGGGGGGACAGAAGAACACGCAGCTAATTAATTAAATAATTTGGTTCTGTACCTTTCTCTTCAGCACAGCCGACAAAGGTTTATGATGGGTCAGTCCTCCTGCATGCTCAGATCATTCCCTTCCCTTGCTTGAAAAATTGTTCCAAAATGAAAGTTGAACCCACATCTTTTTTATCTGTGAATTCAATGCCGTTCGGCGAGTCTTAAATAAAAATGTGGGCATCTTACTGCAAAAAAAATACCATTAATGTAAAAAATAAACTCTAAATGAACTATGTTCACACCCAGAATCAAACCCAGGTCTTCTGCATGGGAGTCAGACATCTTACTAGGTGAGCTAAAGCATCAGTGATGTCTTTCGTATCTGTAACATTTATATCCTTGATGACAGCTGAAACAACGTTCAAAGAACGGTTCGGAGTGAAAATGTCTATTTTGTTGCTAATTTGCAGGAAATATCTAGAAGAAAGTTCTACAGAAAGTAGCTAAGGGTCCTCAGAAATGTAGCTAGCTTTGTCACTAGGCGTTAGGAACAGCGACAAAGTGGCACTGCCTCTCTCTCTGCTGCTAAAGCTACGGATAGCAAATGCTACGGGCGATGCCTGAGCGTGAACGCGCATGAAGCAGCCTGCTCGACCCGAGCATCTCTCTTTTTCTGTGATTTTACAGAAAAACAGGCAAACTGCCAAACTTCCGTAATGCCCCTTTAAAAAAAAATGAAGTCATGCAGCCCCTACCGCCAACACGGCGATCTCTGATGGTGGCTAGGTAAACTAGCTGAAACACGACAGGTAAAAAAAGGTCTTTTTACTAAACTGTGTAAGAAAAGAACAAGAAAGGGATTATGAAGTCTAAATCCGGTTCTGGCCGGCTCACTGCCCTCAGGTCAGGTCCAGTTCTGTGTTAGTGTTTTACTGACCCAGTAGGTTCTGCTGGTCCTGGTACAGTCGGGTCACCCTCTCCATCAGCTCCCACTTCTCACAGCAGCCCTTGTAGTTGACAAAGTTCCTGGCGAGGATTTCTTTCAGCTGCCGCACGCTGAGCTCCTCGATGTCCTCTACGTTGTTCAGGTCCGACAACGAGGCCCGTCGTCCAGATACCGCCGCTTCCTCCGAGTCCCAGTTCTGAGCCAGCAGGACAAAACCAAACAAAAGCTTTTCATTTGTACTTAATGAAGTACTGTTCCAAACCAGAAACACCCAAACCCACTCAGAACCAACAACGGAACCTTCTACTTTCTGGAGGAACATCCCTGTACGCTGTCTGCTGGTGAAGGTTCTCAGTCGTCCAGGTCACGGTAATCCAAAAGGGTTCAAATGAAGACAACTGGACTTCTTTGGTTTCTTGAAGACGTTTCACTTAATGACTCATCAGGGGGTGGAGAGGAGCAGTACCCGGAGTAGTTTCGGCTCGTTAAATAACAGACAGCTACATCTTCCAGTCAGAATTGACAAAGCTCCTCAGATCGTCGTCTTCCTCCGCTTATCCGGGTCCGGGTCGCGGGGGCAGCATCCCAACTAGGGAGCTCCAGACCGTCCTCTCCCCGGCCACCTCCACCAGCTCCTCCGGCAGGACCCCAAGGCGTTCCCGGACCAGATTGGAGATGTAACCTCTCCAACGTGTCCTGGGTCGACCCGTGGTCCTGCTGGTAGGACATGCCCGAAACACCTCCCCAGGGAGGCGTCCAGGAGGCATCCTGACCAGATGCCCAAACCACCTCAACTGGCTCCTTTCGATCCGGAGGAGCAGCGGTTCTACTCCGAGTCCCTCCCGAATGTCCGAGCTCCTCACCCTATCTCGAAGGCTGAGCCCGGCCACCCTACGGAGGAAACTCATTTCGGCCGCTTGTATCCGCGATCTCGTTCTTTCGGTCATTACCCAAAGCTCATGACCATAGGTGAGGATTGGGACGTAGATCGACCGGTAAATCGAGAGCCTGGCTTTCTGGCTCAGCTCCCTCTTCACCACGACAGATCGGCTCAGCGTCCGCATCACTGCAGACGCCGAACCGATCCGCCTGTCGATCTCCCGATCCCTCCTACCCTCACTCGTGAACAAGACCCCGAGATACTTAAACTCCTCCACTTGAGGTAGGACCTCTCCCCCGACCCGGAGTTGGCAAGCCACCCTTTTCCAGTTGAGAAAATTTCGGATGAGAAGCGAAACGTCTTCAAGAAACCAAAGAAGTCCAACTGCCTCCATCTGAACCCTTATGGATATCCCTGTACGCCGTAAGCTACAGCATCAGCTACAAACGTAAACATCGCAGCTTCTGTTCAGAAACCTGTTCAGGTGTTACCTGGTCTTCATCCTGCAGGGTGGGCTCAGGGGGCGGAGTCTCTGACTCAGGAAGTAGGGCTTCAGGCTCTGGAGTGGAAGAGGCAGGGATGGGCACATCAGTGGGCGGGTCAGAAATACGAGGCATCGGAGGGTTGGAGGTCAGGAGGTCGTCAGGAAGGTTAGAGGTTGCTGTGGCGGGGTCAATTATCGGTGTATCAGGGGTGAAGCTGCTGGAAGGTGATGCTTGCTGACTCAGGACCAGCTCCACCAGCTCCTCCTGAGGAACAAGAAATACTGGGTTACCTGTGGTGTGTGTGCATGTCCCAAGAGCCCCAGTTACACCTCCTTTGTCTCATGAATCAACCAACTATGACGACAGACTGCAGGTACGACCCTCACACGTCCACTTAAACCCGTCCAGGCTGGATAAAGTGTCTGCTTCTTTAAGCGTCGCTGAAACTGTGAAAACAAGATACTGTACATCACCTTTTCTCTGCACAGGTGAGTGGAGACCTCATGCAGGTGCAGGTAATCCCTGAGCTCCTTTACTTTCAGCTTCATTAGCTCCGCTCGCTGCAACAGGTTCCCGTAGAAACGCTGACAGGTGTGACAGAGACGGGGACGGAGCTCCCGCTGGGCAGAGCAACGGCAGCAGTAGTTCTTCTTACAGTCCACACACATGTGCTAGGGGACAGGTAGAGACAGGTGAGACGTGATTTGATCTGGAGAACCACATCAAGGTTTCTGTGTTACCGAGTCTTTCCAGCAGGGGGAGCTGCTGCCAGCCCACACAAAATCTGAAACCCAGGACTCAGCAGGTGACTTACCTTCTTGGCAGGCGTGTCGAAGGCCCCCCCACAGGCCTTACAGGTGTGCTCAGGTGGAGAGTTTGTGAAGGACTGATGTCGTCTTTCAGGCCCACTCGATGGACTCACGTCACCCGAGTCCATACACAACCAGTTACAGCAGGATGCAAACATGCTGATCACACACACACACACACACACACACACACACACACACACACACACACACACACACACACACACACACACACACACACACACACACACACACACACACACACACACTTCATTTATGAAATGAATCAATCTGATCTAACCCGATACAACTTTTTCCACTTCCGATACGATACCGATATCGCAGCCTTCGGTATTGACCGATACCGATATCAATCCGATGTGATATCAGCACAAATCATGCAAACTTTTACCTATTTCGTAGTGCAGAATGTAGAAAAGGCTTGATCAAGTGACTTTTTAATAACCTTTGGTTGCATAAATGTGAACCGCTGAGGGAAGAGACATAAGGAAAAACACACAATATTGTTCACTGACCAACTGCTACAAGTTGTGCCTAAAGCCCAATTCTGGGCCTGGAGGTCCGGTATCCAACACGTTTTAGTTTTAACTGTTTCAACACACCTGACTTTAATCAGCAGGTGATTAACAGGCTTCGGCAGAGCCTGATGAGCTGCCGCACAGGTGAATCAAGTGTGTTGAATCAGAGAAATCACTAAAACGTGCTGGATACCGGACCTCCAGGCCCAGAATTAGACCGGGGGTAATCCTGGAGACCCAGATTACCCCTGGTCTAAAGTTTTAATTTCACACACTGCAGAAATCCTCATGTAATGTTTTGTGATCCTGCTTCAAATGCACATTGAAGGTGGACGTATAAAACTTGCCCGGTTCTGTTCAATCTTCGAAAACTTGTGCACGACAAGTGTTGCCCTGAGCCAAACTGTCTTTTTTGGACTTCAACAAAAAAATACTGCCACGTGGCCGACAATTGCTCCTTGCTAGCAAACACTGTTCTGATTAGGGATGTCCCGATCAGGATTTTTTTGCCCTCGAGTCCGAGTCATTTGATTTAGAGAATCTGCTGATACCGAGTCCCGATCCGATACTTTCGATACATTAAAAAAATAAAGAAAGAAAAGGAAGAAACAGTCCCAGAATGTTCCTTATTTTGTATTTAATTACCTTTTATTTTAATTTTTGACAACAGATCACTTCGGTGAGGTAGCTTGAAGAATCAATAAATAACAAATTCTTCACTTTTGGACTTTATTGCAAATATTAAAGGTCTAATATAAAAACAGATAGAACTTCAACTTAAAATACCTGGCAGGGGTCTATTTTGCCTCGGCCCCCAAAATGCTTAGATACGCCCCTGGACATGGGACGGAGTTTTGAAGATGATCTGAATTGTATCAACTATATAAATACTACATGCTGATAAATTATTGCTTCATACAGGTACAAACGTGTAGTGGGATATATCTACCTACATTTTATTTTTTTAGGAACTTTGTTTTGTTTTCTTGGTTTTTATTTTCCTGTCTTCCTGTCCCGTCTGTCTCTGATCTTCCTGTCCTGTCTGTCTCTGATCTTCCTGTCCTGTCAGTCTCTGATCTTCCTGTCCTGTCTGTCTCTGATCTTCCTGTCCTGTCTGTCTCTGATCTTCCTGTCCCGTCTGTCTCTGATCTTCCTGTCCTGTCTGTCTCTGATCTTCCTGTCCTGTCAGTCTCTGATCTTCCTGTCCTGTCTGTCTCTGATCTTCCTGTCCTGTCTGTCTCTGATCTTCCTGTCCCGTCTGCCTCTGATCTTCCAGCATCTCCCGGTCCTCCAGAAAAACTCCTGCCTGCTTCCTTCTTTTTCACCTCACAAGTAACTTTTAACCAGCAGATCAAATTCATCTATTGACCGCAAAAAAAGCGGAGTGTGCGCGGCGCTGCCCGGCTGCGCCAGTGACGAGCGCTGCAGCGCGAGCGCGTCCACACGTCATGCTCAAACACAGACAGAACTTACCAGAGAAAATGAGCGGACACGAACGACTGTGTGTTAATTATATATTTTTGGTGACGCCAGTTAGAAACTTAGAAAATGTTACTGTGGCCGTGTGCAGAACGCAGCTGCAGTTCATGAATGATCAGCAGTCTGCCTGCTGCTCTCTGCATCTCTGCTCAGAAGAATCCCCGCTACGCTGAGTCCTTATAAATAATATAATAAAGGTAGAAACTGGATCCCTGGAAAGGTCTACTCCAAGGTACTGGAGAGGAGGGTCCGATCGATAGTTGAATCTCAGATTGAGGAGGAGCAATGTGGTTTTCGTCCTGGCCGTGGAACTGTGGACCAGCTCTATACCCTTGCAAGGGTGATGGAGGGGGCATGGGAGTTTGCCCAACCAATCCACATGTGCTTTGTGGATTTGGAGAAGGCTTATGACCGTGTCCCCAGGGGCACCCTGTGGGGGACGCTCCAGGAGTATGGGGTGGGTGGCTTTCTGTTAAGGGCCATTCAGTCCCTTTACCAGAGGAGCGTGAGTTTGGTCCGCATAGCCGGTAGTAAGTCGGACCTGTTCCCAGTGAGGGTTGGACTCCGCCAGGGCTGCCCTTTGTCACCGGTTCTGTTCATCACTTTTATGGACAGAATTTCTAGACGCAGCCGTGGTGTGGAGTGTGTCGAGTTTGGTGGCAGGAGAATCTCGTCTCTGCTTTTTGCGGATGATGTGGTCCTCCTAGCTTCATCCAGCTCCGACCTTCAGCTCTTGCTGGGCAGGTTCGCGGCCGAATGTGAAGCGGCTGGGATGAGGATCAGCACCTCCAAATCTGAGACCATGGTTCTCGACCGGAAAAGGGTGGCTTGCCAACTCCGGGTCGGGGGAGAGGTCCTACCTCAAGTGGAGGAGTTTAAGTATCTCGGGGTCTTGTTCACGAGTGAGGGTAGGAGGGATCGGGAGATCGACAGGCGGATTGGTTCGGCGTCTGCAGTGATGCGGACGCTGAGCCGATCTGTCGTGGTGAAGAGGGAGCTGAGCCAGAAAGCCAGGCTCTCGATTTACCGGTCGATCTACGTCCCAATCCTCACCTATGGTCATGAGCTTTGGGTAATGACCGAAAGAACGAGATCGCGGATACAAGCGGCCAAAATGAGTTTCCTCCGTAGGGTGGCCGGGCTCAGCCTTAGAGATAGGGTGAGGAGCTCGGACATTCGGGAGGGACTCGGAGTAGAACCGCTGCTCCTCCGGATCGAAAGGAGCCAGTTGAGGTGGTTTGGGCATCTGGTCAGGATGCCTCCTGGACGCCTCCCCGGGGAGGTGTTTCGGGCATGTCCTGCCGGCAGAAGGCCCCCGGGTCGACCCAGGACACGTTGGAGAGGTTACATCTCCAATCTGGTCTGGGAACGCCTTGGGGTCCTGCCGGAGGAGCTGGTGGACAAGGCCGGGGAGAGGACGGCCTGGAGCTCCCTAGTTGGGATGCTGCCCCCGCGACCCGGACCCGGATAAGCGGAGGAAGACGACGACGACGACGATGACGAGAAACTGGATCTCTCTTGTGCTCCTTCTGGGTGTGCAAGTTAAGGGCATCAGGGGAGCCTGACAACCTTTAAGGAAAACCAAGTTGCTCTCCTGTAATTTGAACCCAGTATCCAACTCCGGATCGGGGCTTGGATCGGGAAGTAAAGCCCGAGTCCCGATCAGTCTGAAACCACATGATCGGGGCCAATTTCAGATCATGTGATCGGATCGGGACATCCCTAGTTCTGATCACGTGGACTTTGCATGCTGGATCTGGGCGCTGCTGGATAGAACTGCCGCAATGGAATTTAAAGCAGAACGGACTGCTTATATCGGAGATTTTTGATGCAGTCCGATATAATCCGATACAGCTTTTTTGGGCCGATATCCGATACAATATCGGAACGGGACATCCCCAGATCTAACTAGGGATGCACTGATACAATACTAGTATCGGTATTGGTGCCAATACCGATACTAGTATCGTATCGGTAAAAGTTAACTGATACCAGGAACCGGTACCAGGAACCGATACCAATGCAGTTGCTTGAAAATGGCTTCACTGTAACTTGTCATTTCTGTTCACCTAATATTAGTTTTGTGACGATTTCCATTCATATATTTTACTTTTTATATACCTCACGTGTTTTTCCCGTTGAAAGCAGAGAAGAAAATAAAATCTGTATTCCAAATCATTGCATTTTTTTGTGTGGTAGAAGTATCGGTATTGGTAATCGGTATCGGCGAGTACTCAGATCCAAGTATCGGTATCGTATCGGTTTGGAAAAAAGTGGTATCGTTGCATCCCTAGATCTAACGGGTCAGGAACATTTTAAAATCAGATCCATTTAGATGAAGAACGTCTGGATCCAACCATAAGTGGGTTACTGGGTGCCTTTTTTTAATAAAACCCTGCGTGGAATCTTTACTAAAACTACAAAAACAAAAGTGCTACCACAAACTAATTTTTGGACCGATGAAACTCTGCTTATGCCCAGCTGCATGTAATTCCTGCTTTATAAATCACACTCTTCCTGGAAACATGTTCAGATCTTTTTGGATCACATTCCACCTCCTTTACACCCTGATCTGCCATAAATGCTCAACGCAAAGTAGAGATCCATCGATATGTTTTTTTCTATTGCCAGTAGCAATGCCGGCATGTAGACGTCGTGGTCGGCCGATGGCCGATATGTGCTACCGATTTTTGGGCCCACAGCCAATTTCTAGGTGTCTTCCAGTTCGTTTGTGTATAAAAATGTCACCAATAATACCAGTGAACCCAAAACATTTCTGGAGCTGAATCGGTATTTGAACACTGAAATTAGCCAACTCTTGAATCCTAATTCTGTGCACTGCTCAGTATTAAAATCAACCATCATCTTTATGTAGCACTTTCCATCTGCCAGTAGGGGAACCAAAGCTCTGCACATGCATAAAAATTTTAAAACATCACTGATCCATTAAATGGCCAACAATAAAACAATATGCATAAAAACAAATAAAAGCAGGTGATAAAATTGAAGAATGATGGTAAAAAAAAAACAAGATAAAGTAAGTTAAAGGGACTGTATGGAGTTTTGAATTTTTATGCTCGCGATTGCCCCCTCAGGCCAAAAGTGTAACGGCAGCTTCAATAGTAGGCTCGTGCACGAGACGCGCATGCTGTACGTGCACACTCCTTAACGAAAATAACAGCTGAGACAGTCCCGTGTGTGTGTGTGTGTGTGTGTGTGTGTGTGTGTGTGTGTGTGTGTGTGTGTGTGTGTGTGTGTGTGCAACCCGGAGGACAGAGGACAGGAGAACGCACAGCTAATTAATTAAATAATTTGGTTCTGTAGCTTTCTCTTCAGCACAGCCGACAAAGGTTTAAGATGGGTCAGTCCTCCTGCATGCTCAGATCATTCCCTTCCCTTGCTTGAAAAATTGTTCCAAAATGAAAGTTGAACCCACATCTGTTTTATTGTGAATTCAATGCCGTTCGGCGAGTCTCAAATAAAAATGTGGGCCTCTTTCTGTAAAAAATATACCATTAATGTAAAAAAGAAACTCAAACTCAAGAATCTCTAAATGAACTATTTTCACATCCAGCATCAAACCCAGGTCTTCTGCATGAGAGTCAGACATCTTAGGTGAGCTACACACCAGTGACATTCACAGCATCTGTAACATTTACATCCTTGATGACAGCTGAAACAACGTTCAAAGAACGGTTCAGAGTGAAAATGGCTATTTAGTTGCTGATTTGCAGGAAATATCTAGAAGAAAGTTCTACAGAAAGTAGCTAAGGGTCCTCAGAAATGTAGCTAGCTTTGTCACTAGGCGTTAGGAACAGCGACAAAGTGGCACTGCCTCTCTCTCTGCTGCTAAAGCTACTGATAGCAAATGCTACGGGCGATGCCTGAGCGTGAACGCGCATGAAGCAGCCTGCTCGACCCGAGCATCTCTCTTTTTCTGTGATTTTACAGAAAAACAGGCAATCACAGTAAAAATGCCAGGGCTCATTCTACAGGACCAGGGCATTGCAGGAGAATGTATGAAAAAGACATTTATTATTTCTATACATGTTTTGGCTGTCAAACGTCCATAATGCCCCTTTAAAAACAACTGGATACAAATTAGCTAAATTATCTAAAAACATGGCTAACTCACGTGCTGAGGGAACGCCACAGTATAAAAGTGATTCGTCATCGGACTCTATAAAACCGTCAGTGAGGGTGCTTGTCTGACCATGAGTGGAAGACCAAAACTGAGGACGCCCTGCCTCCTCCAGTCGAGCACTTTACTCGTGGAATGACGAGTAAGTCCTGCTGTGCTGACCTAGGTGCATGTGATGGGTTGTATCGGGTGAGTAAATCAGACAGATAAGTTGGAGCACAGACCTGCAAGTACCTTAAAGCCGACTGAAAGATAACGGAAGGCAGTGCAGATTGGCCAAAACAGGCGTGATGTGTTCCCGCTTTCTGGTGCCGGTCAGGAATCTAGCAGCAGCATTTTGTGCAAGCTGAAGCCGAGCAAGTGCAGCCTTGCTAAAATCAAATACGTTAAACTAAAGTTTAACATCCATCCACCCATTTTCTACCGCTTATCCGGAGTCTGGTTGTGGGGACAGCAGCCTAAGTCGAGAGACCCAGACTTCCCTCTCCCCAGCCACGTAGGCCAGCTTCTCCAGGGGAATCCCAAGACAGAGTGCCATGGGATTCCCTTGGAGAAACTGGCCAGATGACAGAAACAGTCTCTCCAGTGCGTCCTGGGTCTTCCTGTAGGTCTCCTGATTGAACGTGCCCAGGGAACCATCCAGGAGGCATCCTAATCAGATGCCCGAGCCACCTCAACTGGCTCCTATGAATGTGGAGGAGCAGCAGGTCTACTCAAAGCCCCTCCCGGATGACCGAGCTACTCACCCTATCTCTAAGGGAGAGCCCAGACACCCTGCGCAGAAAACTCATTTTGACCGCTTGTATCCGTGATCTCATTCTTTCAGTCACTACTCCAAAGCTCGTGACCATAGGTGAGGGTAGGATTGTGGATCGACCGGTAAATCCACTTTTTCCTTCCAGCTCAGCTCTCACTTCACCACGACAAATTGGTACAACACAAACACAGCACCAATCGATCAGTTTTCCCTCACCAGTGAACAAGACCCCAAGATACTTAAACTCCTCCACTTGGGGCAGGACCTCCTCCCTGACCCGAAGAAGGCATTCTACCCTTTTCCGACTCAAGACCATGGTCTTGGATTTAGAGGGGCTGATTCTCAATCCAGCTGCTTCACACTCGGCTGCGAACCGCTCCAGCAAGAGCCGGAGATCACGTTCAAAGTTTATGTAACAAATCAATAAAAATACCAAGTATTAAACCTAAAACTGGTATTTTATATAGTGAACAGGTATCAATAATGTTTTTGATCATCTATTCTGCAGATGTTTGTCCAGGAATATTAATATTCAATGAAATAAAATTTGGAAACACCAGGCTGCCCGTGGATGTGCCTGACATTAAATCGACTCTACTAAAGAGGTATGTCAGCCAACCGATTTATCGGTCTATCACTTTTGAAAGTACTGTATGAAGATTCTGCACATATATATGCTGGCTCATTTGTGGTATTTTCACGGGTAACCATGGCAACCGTGAGGCTTAGAAAATAAATGCTATTTCACTGAGGTCAAAATCAGCATGCTTGTGGGTGATACAGAGGTAAGGCAAAAGTTTTATTGCCTTTCAGCTGAGCGATGGGAAGATCTGTGGCGAAGATACAAAAGAAGTGTCCCCTCGTCCACCAAAGATTCCGATATGCCTCAGATCAGCTGATCCAGACTCACAGTTCTGGTTGATTTGGTAAACTATTGTGTTCTTTCTTTCAGAACCGCTGTCTGAGAGGCTGCTGTCACCAGAGACTCACGTCTTCAGTTAGGAAGCACTTGTTGCCTGCGTGATTCAGTGGTCGGGGGACAAAGTTAAATGAAGTCACCTGAAAATGTTCTGGTACCACAATTAAAACTGGGTGAATATTAGGGGTAGACCGATATATCGAGCTGATATTTATCATTTTTATATACATCCGCATCAGCCGACACTTGTCCTTAGTAAATTCTATATAAAGTCAGACACATACTCAGGATGCCCAATGCTGTTGCAGAACTCAATGTACTTTTTTAATTTTCACTAATAACATCTGCATAATAGATACTCTAAATTATATTTGATTTTAAACTATTTGCACAGAGTTCAGATTTAACAGTTAATTAATAAAGTTTAAAAACTGATTCAGAAAATTAGTGCATCAGCTGATGTTATTAGTGACATTTTAGAATGAAAATAAGGTTGAAAATGTCTGGATATCGGCCATGAAAATCGGTCCACAAAAATCGGCAGTATCGCAGTCGGCTCCTACACATTGCATCAATTGAAAACCCAAAATCGGTTGACCTCCAGTCAAACTTCAGGCAAAGGTCAAAGAAAAACTCCTTCGGGTCATCAGATAGGCAGAATAACTCGAGCTGGGACTCTGGTCTAGGTCAGTGGTTGTGAACCAGATTTGGGATTCTAGATTGATCATCTCATCAGAACCTTAACCGGAAGTCAGGATTGTTTACAAACAGCGACCTGTCGAGCCATATTTAGGTGGTTTAAGTGAAAATCTAACAGCTTAACATGGTTGGAAGTGACAAACTAAACACAACTATCAGCGGTTATAAATGATTCAGCTTTTCACAAACCATCAGTTTTATTTGACGATTGTGACTCAGAAACATACTTGCACTTAACGAAGCAATGTAGGTAAAGTTTATTGGAATTTACAAATAGCTGCCTTCTGTTTTTTATCTTAGCCGAATGATGAAATGTTTCCATATTACCAGTGACAGCTGAGTTTTTGAGTTAAAACTGGACTGGCTTTCCGTCAGCGAGCCAGAACATTTTTAATCAGACAAAATGTAAACGGGGTCTGGAAAGACCCACACTGCTAGCCGCGCAGCAAGCTAGGCTAACACCAGCTAGTAGTTAACAAAGTTTATAAACACCGAAGAAGAGTAAAAAACTGGCAACAAGCAACGTAGAACAAGACCCCGAGCCCGATTTGGACCGGTTTTAACCGAACAGTAACCAGTTTAACTCCGAACCTACCAGAACATTTAATGACATCATGAGACAACTTACCTGTTGGTGACAGGAAACCTTTCGCTGTCAGCTAGCTCACCGGAGAGCCGTGAGTTAACCAGTACTAACCGGTAAACTGACCCTAAAGCGATTACCCGGTCCGCATGACCAACTCTGTCTGAACAGAACCGAAAATATAACACGAAAGTCTAAAAGAGAAGACAAATAACAGCCGAGTAGAACCAGGAAGACTACTCACTCACACGCACATACTGTACACACACGTGCGCGCGCGCGCACACACACACACACACAGACAATATAAAAAAAGTTGAGTATCCAACTTCTGTTACAGACGATCACGTGACTGATCGCTTACTGATTATGGTGATCAAACCTCATCCCCAGCGTGGTGGGACAGATGCTCCCATCTGTTGACCCAGTGAACTGGTTCTGACCCAGTCGAACCTGAGAAACCAGGTCAAAAACCACCCAGAATCCACAGGAAACCCCATTTTCAGCTGGTCTGGAGACCCTGAATCAGAACCACCGATTCCAAAACGAGGTCTGGATCAGGCCTCTGGACTGAGGTCTTGGATTGTACCACGCACACACGCACGCGCACACATCTGTCTTTCTATAATAGGGAGGACCCTCTATTGACTTCCACTCACTTTTCAGACTCCAATATGCCTAACCCTAACCAATCCTGACCTACTCCTAACTAAAACTTGATTCACATCATACCTCTAAAACCAACTGGTAAGCTTCTAAAAAAGTGAGGACCAAAAAAAGTCCTCACATTGTAGGGAAAATGATCAAAATGGTCCTCAGTATGTAGCAAGTTCAAGAACACACACACACACACACACACACACACACACACACACACACACACACACACACACACAGTAAACACTCCCGGTTGGTGTTGGAGGATGATGACAGTTTTATTGCAATAAACAGTGGGGCAACAGATCAATAGAACACAAAAGGGTTGTTTAAGAAAACGTTTAACGTCCTGGTAAACAAAAACACTTCCCACCTGAGCCAACAGACCTGGTCCTGATCCACACCGACATGAACACCTGGTTCTGTTCTCAGAACCAGAGTCCACTCAAAGAAGCACACATTACAGTTGGAGCTACAAACCAAAGTTCCAGCTTTATTGGACAATCAGAATTTGGACTTTGCACATTTTTTAATAACGTTACAACGAATTCTTGATGGAAGTCGGCATCTGATCCACACTGAAACGACCCAAAAAAAAACAAAACAACCAAAACTTCTAATTTCTTCTTCTGTGTTGGTGACATGTCACGTTAGCGCCACCATCTGGTCAGGAGTCGGCTGCGTTAACGAGTCAGTGCTGCATTCAAAGACAGGTGGAGCAGAGTGGAAGGGAGGAGACGGAGCAGAAAGAAGAAGAAACGGGAAGCAAGAGGCAAAAAGGACAAACATTTAACACCTTTTCATCGTCTTCTTCTCCCTGCTTCTTTCCCTCCTTCATTTACCTGTTCTTCATCAGCACAAAGAAAAAAGAACCAAAATGCCATCAATCATCAAAAATAAAAGGAGCAAGAACAGCCGTTAATCCCACAGAATCAGTGCGTTTACATGCAGCCAGTAACCCTTTTAAAACCCGAATATTCACAATAACCCGGTTCCGCAGGTCCTTGTAAACACCGCCAAAAACCCGGATATGCTCATAACCGGGTTTTTAAAAACCCGGTTCCTACACCTGGGGTAACCCTTTTCTAACCTGAATGTTTGGTCGTGTAAACGCATATCGGGATATCCCCATCAAAGCGTGTGTTCTGCGCATGCTCTGTTCCCAAGGAATCTTGGTCTTTTGAGTAGCGAGACGTCTTGTATGCACCAGAACACCGGAAGTAAACAACAAGTTGGGAGAAAAATGGCGAGTCGCGGCACAGCACCACACTTTTGGAGTGACGAAGAAACTAAAGCGCAAAGAAACGCGGTCGCTATCTCTTCCGAACTAGGAAACATGTTGTTTTCACGGATACCGGAGCAAGAAGAACCGGAAATGACGCATATTGCGTCTGGATGTAGTCCATACGTCCTGGCGCTACCCCAACGTCTGCATTTAAATCGGGTTATGCAAGTTAGAGGTAACTCTTTCTATTTATGCTTGTAAACGGGTTATTCTGATCAACTCAGAAACCCGAATACCGACCTTAACCCGATCATAACCCGGATATTGGCTGCATGTAAACGTAGTCACTGACCTCTTGTTCCAGTTCCTTAAATGTAACAACTCTTTTAGAACCAATTTTCAGCAGGTTCCACTGAGGTCAGCCTCCACCCTCGGTCCAGATTCTAAATTCCCTAAAGGGGACGGGGCTTTGCTTACCAACAGGACCACTTAGAACCAAGACAACCCACAAATGGTTCTGTTCTTAAACAAAACATTAAAGAGCAAGTCACCCCCCTACCAGAGTATTCCTCCACTCCCACTTCCTGTTTGAAAAATGCAACAAATGCTGTTGCCTAGCAGACTGAGAGGGCGTAGCCGCTAACGAACACACACACACACACACAAGCTCACAACGACATTGACATCATACGGTACCAGCTAATGTTCTAGGGTACTTCTTAGCCAATAGTGATGGCAGATTTAAATTCAGCTGCAGTGCAGAGTTTTTACCTGACAACGGCAAGACACTGACAGTTTTAGGCAGAAAATTGTAATTTTGACAAAAATGCACTAAAGTGCAAAACGACTGACTACACGTGTCTGATTAGACACGCATTTATTTAGTTTATCAGGAAAAAAAAGTTGATATGGGGGTGACTTGCTCTTTAAGAATGAAGTACAAACGGTTCTACTGCTGAACTTGACTTAACATCTAGCAGAACCTTTAGTTCCTAACAGGACGACATATTGAAATCTGGTCAGGTTGTACTGTTGCACTCCTTAGCTCCGCCTACAGCCATTTAGCCTCATGACTCCACACACAGCTTGTTAGTCTACCGGCTCCGCCTACAGAACTTCTGTGACAGAACCATCTCTAGAATCAGGACTACTGAGCCTGATCCCAGCTGCTCCCACAGCTTTGTCCGAGGTACACCTGAAATTAGGCTCCGCCTTCTGATGAGTTTGTGTCTACTCTGAGACAGAGCGTCCCCCAATTAAGGGAAAAACAGGTGTAGTAGCAAAATGTAGCTGAATTAGAGCACAAAGAAATCTCATGAAACCATTTCCGTTTCACATCAGGTGAATTTTTCAGTGTGGATCAATGGACCAATCAGAGAAGAGCTCTCTTCTGCGTGCCCAGTGTGTACCTTTACATCTCAGCCTGACACCTGATGGAACAGGTCTCTGAAACAGAGCTGCTTTGCTGCCAAAGACAACCAATCAGAGGAGGCTTAACAGGTGGCCACACCTCTCAGCATGTGACCTGTGCTGCGTTCAGGTACCCCTTAGAAGTTTCGGATTTAAATACGGAGGCTTAACTCGGTTTATAGCTTGTAGGTTCGTTCGAATATAACTCCACAGAACCTAAATACAGCTTTGATCAGCAGTGGAGAAAAATCCTGCAGACCATGAATGCATCTCAACCCTCTAGCTGCTTTTCCGTCAGGTGAGCTTGCTGCAAATAATTCAACGGGCGGAGTCTGCTGGGAGTCCACCCTGATGCAGACGTAGCCACATCCCCAGGAATATGAGCGATATAACACAGATTACTGGTTACAGCAGGACCCGATTGGTCCCCACAAAAACAACGGGGCAACAACACAGTGTGTCCATGATGTGACCAATCAGGAAGAGGAGGCGGGGTTTCAGCTGAACAACTACAAAGAGAGGGAAACAGAGCTTTACCTACAGGGGCGGGGCTACAGGGCAAAGCAGGTGCAACATCACAAAAGATGGTCGTGAGGGGGCGGGGCAGAGAAACCTAAAGTCTGCACATGCATTCACGAGCTGCTTGCTGTGTTTATGTTAACAGGTTTGTTATTGATCAGAGTGTTGGAGTGTGTTTATTCTCTCCAAGAATAAATAATCTGCTCAAACAGGAAGTAGAAGAAGAGCAAGCGGGTGGGGGGTGGCACCACTCGCCATCCATTCTAACTGTGTCGCTTAAACCATCCTGATTACTAGTTTTTGTAAAAGTTCAATCATCTGTGGACTCCTCCCACCCATCCCCCACCCCCCGCCTCGAGGCCGCCAGTCACTTAAGGGTTTTCTCCAGATATCACCTCTTCTCGTGGCTTCGCTCCACCAAAGATGGCAGAGTTTGGGTTGGCGACCTGGTTGAGAGGTTCCGAGACGGTCCGGGGCTTCAGCTGCAGGCGAGGCCGCTGTGCACGCTCCTCTGTACACACACACACACACACACACACACACACACACTTAGTAACTCCAACAGGAGCGGTTCTTCTGCACAGTCCTTGTTCTGCACTGCTAAAAAGTGAGAAGAACTAACTGACATTACGGAAATGAGGCGTTGCCGTGACGATGTGATTAAACCAATCAGATTTAAGATGACAAACAGAATTCTGGAGCTAAGAGACTCATTTATCAGCTAATCTAAACACTTAAAGACCTGCTATTTTGAGGGTGTGTGAACACACGATCACTGAGGTTGCATTCACATAGCTGCGCTTTGTGTTCACTCACATTAAAAATGAACTCTGACCTCCGTCAGACTCCAGTGTGAGCCACAAATGAGTAGGAGTGGGTGTGACATCGCATGCTAAGTTCTACACATTAGCATAGTGCTGTGTGTGTGTGTGTGTGTGCGTGCACATGTATGTGTCAAAACCAAAGTTGTTCAGTGAGAAGAGACAGACATCAGGCTAGGGTTGTCACGGTAACCGGTGTAGCGGTAAACCCCGGTAAAAAAGTTGACAATAATAATAACCGTCTTGTTTTTTAAAAAACTATATTATCTCGGTGGATTAGCGTGGCTGCGGTGTAGGCGCGGTGACCCTTACCAGCCACCGTATCATCTGCTGAAGTTGCCGGCGGCACATGCGCACTTTGTTGTTTACAACCAAAACTTTCTTGAAGCTAAAGCTGAAATAATGGCCAAAGGAGGAGACGGCAGCGCTCAGGAGGACATTTATTATCCCTCAAAGAAGACAAAGTGGGAAGTACGGGCATTTTTTTGTATATTTGAAGAATGCCGAGGGACAGCTGATAGAAGACGGCTATCCTGTTTGCAGCACGTGCAGAAAAAGTGTCTGTGAAAGGCAGCAACGCTTCAGATCTCATGACACATCTGCGTGACCATCACCCACAACTCTACAGTCAACGCAAGGCAAGCTAACGTTAGCGCTTTAGCTAAAATGCGTGATCCGAGGATTTGGGTTGAGGGAGAATGCAACGAGTCGCTATATAAAGCAGCCGCAGCGCCGCTACCTGCATGTAAACCGTGTCACGGACACCGCCATGTTGGAATGACGCTATGCATTACGGGGCTCCCAGGGGCAGATAAGAGTTGGTCTCTCTCCGAGAATAATTATGAATTTAACAACGATTACTGCCTGATGACATTTTCCCACATCTGCAAAGCTCACTGGAAGGACACAAACCGAGGACGATATTTTCCTGATATAGGGTTTATTACTCAAGTAAGGGTAAAAAAGTATCTGATTAGAAGGCTACTTGAGTACTGAGTATCATCTGGTCTAATATTTTTAAAATGATGACATCAAACAGACAAAACATAAGAAGTTATGGGCAAATATTGGTATTTTAAAGACTAAAGGGGAAAAATGTAAACAAATAAACAACATAATTACAAAATAACACATTTTAGACTAAATTTAGACACAAACTGAGGACAATATTTTCCTGACATACAGGGTTTATTTAGTTGTCTGAAAATGTAACACGTTTAAAAAAATACCGCGATAATACCGAAAACCGTGATAATTTTGGTCACAATAACCGTGAGGTTAGATTTTCACACCGTGACGACCCAACATCAGGCACACATCTGGTTTATGACGCGGACCCGGGTTGGGCTCGTCAAACTTAGGGCCCTTCTGCTAACGGTGTGATCGGAGCTTAGTTCATGCTAGCAATGACGCAGAAGTTTGGAAATCCAGAATCCGAATTTTAAGTGAAACTAAAAATGTTCTACTCTGGTTTTTGGAGTTCAACCCTGAGAACCAGAATGGGCTCAATGTTATGAGTCATCGTAGAGGAAGTGATGTCACCTTCAGATGGTTCCCTGAAGTCTGTTCCTCCTCCACGTGGTGGAGGTCCCTCTCTGAAGCGACCCATTCCTCCGCCTGCCCCCCGTCTCTCGCTGGGACGACTGCTGCCTCCTCGACTCCTCCCCCCCATGTAGTCATCGTCTCTGAAACCTGCAGACAGACAGACGGGTGAGCGAAAAGTCAGACGGTCTCAGGCGTCCTGCAGCATCCTCGACCTGAGAGGTGACCGTGAGGATGAGATGACGGAGGTGAAAGGCATGGTGGGAATAACTGGGGGGTGATCCAGCAGCTTAGGGTGGTCAAAGGTCATTTACTAAATTTTGACCTTCAAACTTTAGTCCAAACTTGATGGGTCACATGACCCCTGACCCTCAGTGGTCCAGTGTGACCCAGAACCTGCTGAGTGACTGTGACTCAGAACAGGAACAACAGTTCACTACAGACATCAGCTCAGGCTTCTGATTGGCCAGCTGCTGAATTCTCTGACCTCCTCCCGGCTGATCGTAGAAGTCCTCACGTGAGTCCCGTCCTCCTCCTCCTCCTCCTCCTCTGGGAGCTCCTCGAGAACCTCCTCGTCCTGCAGACAATATTGGAATTTAACACTGTCGGGAGGGAGGGGGAGTCAAGAGGAACCAGGAGGAGGCGACAGAGAAGGAGTGTAAAGAAGGAGGAGGAGGTTCCACCTCCGCCTAGAAGTGGAGCGACAAGGAGGCGGAGCTTGTTAGTAGTCCATCAGCCAATCAGAAGAGGTGTTAGAAAGCAGCAGAGATGCTCCAGAAACAACCTGCAGCCAGAACCAGTTAGAAGAAAGGAGGAGGTGAAGATGAGGCGATGAAGATGCAGATGAAGAGTTCTCCACCTCTTCAGATCTCTGATCAGTTTCAGCATCAAACACTCCAACATCAGATCTGATCCGGACCAGAATTCCTGATCCGGACAAGAAATCCTGATCCCAATCAGAGGTCCTGTTCCAGTCCAAAACTTCTGATCTGGGCCAGAACTCCCGATCTGAACCAGAACTCCTGATCCAGTTCAGGACTCCTTATCCGGAGCTCTAGAGCGGATCGGGAGTTCTAGACGGACGACTTTAGGCTGTAGCACATAGATCAGACCAGACACACAACCTTCTCCTGCTGAGTTCAGATGCTCCACCGGGGGCTCCTCCGGGATTTTTCCAACATTGATTCGAGGTTTGTGCATAAAGTCTAGCGCAAAAGAGTTCGTGTTTACATGGATCGGGTCAGTCAGGATGGTGTCTGACGTAGCTAGCAGCTGGATCGGGACGTCCTGGTGGGACAGGCACCTGCAGCAGAACTCAGCTGGAGAAGGACCAGGTCTACCTCAAACCACCTGTTGTTCTGGACTTCATACCTCTGGCATCATCTTTCCTGAAGCCGAACCCGCCACCTCCTCGCTCTTGCCTTCTTCCCTCTGCAATGTCTACCCTCAGTGACCTATCGCCTAGCAACTGCAGAGAAAACAGATCAGAGCAGGTAATCGGTTGTAGATCTGCCGAGTCTGGAGTTCACGATCCAGATACTCACGGCGCCGTCGTACGTCAGAGCTTCTTTTAGAGACTCCAAATCCTCAAACTCAACGTAACAAAAACCTGAAGAGACAAAAGCAGCCAGAGGAAGACTCAGACCGGTTCTGTTGGAAATGGGCCTTGGTAGCGGAGGCTGGAGGAGACCAGCTGCATCTCTAGTGAGGACCAGAAAACTGGAATCAGAACATCTGAAACCCAAATGCTGACTTTTCCCACAGTCAACAGTGAACTCACCATCACTAACTGTTACTTGATGCTAGACCAGAGATTTCCCCTCCAGAATCTGAATGTTTTAGTTAACCCAGAGCGGTAGAAGGAGAGTTGCGACACGCTTTGAACTCGCCGACTTGTGGTCACGTGGATCATGGAGCTCTCAATAGTTCCAAACATCCCAGCGCCGTAAGTCAGTTTGAACGGCGCATGGTGGGACAAATCACAAAAATGGAATATTGTCACATTTCCCTGGCAATTTGTGGTAATTTTAGAATAATATTATATATTATATCCTAATTCCTTCAAAGTAGCCTATTTATTTTTTCCGAGCATTTGTAGGAAGACAGACACCCGTGACTGTTCTACATTACAGGAACACGACAGTCCTAACACACTGTAGAACACATTTAGACCACGTATATTACTATAATATACTATAGCAATAAATTAGATGTAGTAATGCAACACACTGCTCTAATATAAGCATATTTAATAACTTTAAGTCCTACAAGAAGCCCTAAACTCGAGTTGTAATATCCATTTTAAAGTGGTTTACTGAAAGCTAGAATTCTGCTCCAGCTTACCCTGAAGAAAACATGTAGCTGTTTATGCTTTGAATGATGATTTATTATGTTCAGTAGAATACATTTTACAGTCATTACTTTATATTTTTATGTGAAGACAGTACATGCATCTGTAACCCAGTTTAGTTTCTTCTTCCGACTCTTGGAGAGTACAGACGCTTTTTTCCTCCTCTCCTCCCTATCTTATCCCCTAGGCTCGTTGTCTGTCTCTGGGTGGACGGAGCTTCTACATTTTTTCTGGAAACTGGAAATTATTAAAAATGGACCTGGTCAGCTGGTCACTCAACGCGATTGACAAAATTTTCTCAACGATGAGAAGGGGAGAAGGGGCTCCCGGGTGCCCCTCTGGGACAGATCCAGCTGGGCACATCATGGACTCCTGGAAACAGTGGAACCTGATTTGCTTATCTCAGCTGTCTGTAGAAGATTCTGAAGACGTCTGGATATTCATGGTGTTGGTGTCAGGTTTCCTGCTCTTTGGCCTTGGAGGTTACCCGACTTACCGGAAAATTAACGAGCTGTCGAGGAATATTGGCTCACTCCCAGAGCTCAGAGATGGATTGCACCACACTGTGAATTCACAGACTCATAATTGTCGAGATGAGTCGTAAGCTTGGAGCTTTGGCTGAGATTCATGCGTTGGCACAAAAGATGGATGGGATCAAGGAACGAGTGGACGAATCAGCACGGATTGGGATAGATTAATCTACGCCATTATTGGATTTTGAGAGGTTGAGGACCTGCGGAACTCAAAGACAGAGAAGAAATTATCTCTGTCTGGCCCCAAAACAATTTCTTATCTGAATCTGGTGCCGTTGAGCCTGTGAGGCTGAAACGAATACCCCCCTCAGAAGAAATGTGGAATACTGCCATCGCCATGGCAACTCTGTCTCCCTATCCCGGCCTGGGCGGGACTGCGAGCTGTGCTGCTGCTGACGTGTGGAGAGCCCCAAAACCCTACCACCCCACCTAGTGGACACTAATGTTATGTAATGTCTGAAGTCTGTTGCCTGAGGTGTTTTTTGCAGAGCAAAGCTGCCCTCCCTGTGGAGGCTAACTCTGAAGTGCCTTTTTTTCCCTCCACCTGAACCAATCCTCATGTAAACCTCTCTGATCTCTATTAAGGTAGCGCGACTCGGGTTGCAAATGACCACAGTCACCAATTCTTGACATGTGTCTTTGCCCATGTCGGTCTGATCTCAGAATTGTGTGTACTGAAACTCTAATTTCCCTCTGGGATTAATAAAGTATTTTTGAATTTGAATTGAATCTGGCTTCTATAGCCTGAGTAATAGCAATTAAAAACAAAATTTCAATAAAACTGTATGGTTCATCAAAGTAGATAAAAATAAGTGTTAATTGTGAAAAAATGAACACCAAACTTGTACAACATGTATAATAGCATTTTTATAAAGCATTTTACCAACATTATGTTTAGTCATTACATATGCACAAATAAGTTGAATCATTAATTATGAGCAATGTACTCAAGACCTAATGAAACTCTTTTGAATAACTTTATTTTGATTATTATTAAAATAAAATGTGTCCGTGGGTTAAAATTTGAAATATTTTAGGGTTGGATAAAATTTTGAAATGTAATTTTACATCTCTATATTTTTGGTTTCTATATGTACAAAAACTGTATTTTAATAATCCCTTTATAGGTTGAATATCTTACATGGTTGGCTGCCCTGCATATAGCAAACGGTCTGAGGGAGGAATCAGAATTATGGCTTCCCCAAAGACGCAGAGAGAAGAAGAAAATGGTTGGCTCAAGTCAGCAGGAGCAACCTCACCATGACCAGAGATCACAATAACAAAAAGCTGTGTGCAGTGAGTTTAACGTGCACTCTATAATGTTTTCTATCAAGGATCTACATGTTCTGCTCTCAACTGCACAAGGCTGCAATTAAACTGTTAAATGTGGCAGGAAATAAACTAATACACCACTCTACAGGCACATTTAGAGGAGGGAGAGTTTACTGAGCTTAGGCAAGGCAAGGTGAGACTCAGGGCTGATGCTGTGTTTGTTCATCGCCCTGAACCAAGGAGGAGGAAGGACCCCGCAGTGAGAAGTACAGCAGAACCTCTGCATGTTGATCCACTGACCAGTGACCACACATGTTGTACTCAAGTAAACTGTGGTACAAATCTTTTGAAATATTAGACATTTGTATTTATTTTATTTAAAAATGATTCTTTATTCTAACAGTGCCATTATAATTTCAGAGAACGAGGAAAGCAGCAGCAGCAGTGAGGCAAATGAGATGAGGGAAAGTGAGGGGGGACATGAGATGGTATCAGGAGAGAGGGACATCCCAGGAAGCCACGAGGAGCCGGCGTCAGGGCCAGGAGGAGAAAGGAACAGGCGATGCAACCAGGGAACCCAGCTGGAAAACCTAAGGGAGGAAACAGAAAGTCAAAAAGGCATGAAAAACACAAGAGGCGGTAAATGGAGTAAACAGACAATCAAAAGGCCGTACAGCTGGGTTTTTCAGCAGGTTCAACAGGCTTCAGGTTTCTCCAGGACACGAGTATCCCTCTGCCTGATGTTAGAACCTGCAAAGACAAATGCAGCCCGTTAACTGGAACCAGGTGTGTTAGGAGAGGTGAGTGACACGCTCAGTTTGAAGGTTAAAAATCTGACAGAGATGGAAAGAGAGTGTGTGCTTACTGTGGATGAGATGGCAATCACTCCAGGCGTGCATCACTCCATCACAGACCCAACTGGGTTTTACCACCACCGTTGTTCCTGGCCAGCTCTCCGCTCAGCCACGATGAAAACATGAAGATGGACACACGACACAGTTTAACCTTTAATGGTTACATGAGATTTTTGTTATAGTTTCTCTTTGACGTTTATTTATTGATAATTGTGTTATTGTTAATTCTTATTTCTTGTCATTCCTTAATAACAAAATTGCAAATGCTAATATTATAAAGCAAGAGGAAATGAGCAGTTTTATGGAAAATGTCTAATTTTTAAGTTATTGTTCGACTACTGTTCTTGAATTATCTTAATTTTATTCTTATTACTTGAGTCCACAAAACAGAACAACATATCTTCTTACGTTCGTAATCCTGTTTGCTTCAGCAGTTTGTTGCAGTCAGCGTTATTAACTGAAAAATATTAAATAATTACGTGTCTTCACGATCCCATTTTCTTTAATACTGGTCTCTCCATCTGTGCTTCCATTTCTGATGCATGTTGGTGTTGATACAGCAACCAGCAACGTATTGTACAAAAAATCCCAAATTAAACTAATAATGTCAAAAGTTTATAACCTATTTCAAACTGTGGGGAATATTTGTAAAACGTAGAATCAAACAAACTGAAATAAACCCGTCTGCAGCTCGTCCTCCTGCTCACAACCAACAAGCTGCACACAGTTAGCTCATTAAAGGTTCTCTAGCTAAAACTGGCAACATAAAATATCATCGTTGGCTTATTTTGGTACGAAGCGGTTAGCTAACGCTTCACAATGCAACAAAATGATGACACGTCATCAACTTACCGGAGAAAATCCTTCCGAAACACCGAAAATGAACGGCGGTCGATGCAGCAGCGGGGCTGTTTGGAACTAGTCGAAGCTACGTGAACCACGTGACTCCCGCGTTCCGTTCTTTCCATAGAAGTCTACTAGAGTGTCGCAACTCTCTCTTTCTACAGCTCTCAGAGTTAACCAGGGGCTTAAACCCATTTGTTCTGGTTCTGGAGGATGGACCGGGTCAGCGCCGTACCTGGGTCAGAAGCATTGGCCCTGAAATCCACAATCGATGCAGCTGTTTGGATTTGAGAAAAGATGGAGGAAGTTGAGCTGCTGAGCAGCGCACAGAAGCAACTTCCTACTAAGCCTCCAGCGGTGTGGTGGCGGAGCCAGAAATCACCGTGGAAACGTGTGATGCTGCCGATTCAGAGGTTTTGCTTAAATATCCCTTTAGTGCCCGTTTCTGCAACCTGGGACTCTGGACCCACACGGAACCCCCCAGCCCATCTGGAGTGGCCTTCAAAGATTTGGACCGCACCAGTTTAAACGTAAAACCTGGACTAACGTTGTTTTCCTACTGACGAGGGTCGTTATGATTCCAGGACCGGATCGACTGGGTCCTGAAGAGAAGAGCTGGTTCCTGTGGTGTGGAACAATAAAATCCTCTGACCTTTGAACTTGTCTGTCTCTTTGTCTCTGACCAATCGCACGCTGCGGATGTTGAGCTCTTTGAAGATAACGTCAATGTCTCCCTGCACCGTGTTGAAGGGCAGGTTTCCCACGTACGCTGTGAACGGGGGGTCTGTAGGCAGCTCCTTCTGCTTCCTGGGGCCTCCGGAGCCGCCACCGCCACGGGGCCTGGAAGAGGCAGGAGGACATGAGCGTGAGACCTGCAGGATGAACTCAGGACCGGTTAAACAAGGTTGTTTTCTCCATTACAAAACCCGAAGCCCAACAGGTCCGAGACCTGGACCAGATCCTGGATCTGTTAAAACCACCGGTTCCCTCTGAGACCCGAAAAGTTCCGATGAGTTTAGGTTGAAGCAGGACAGCCGGGTCATTAAAGGAACAGTTCGCTGCTTCTGATTGGTCGCTTCGGTTACACGAACTAATAATTTGTGGAAAACTTATTTAAACACAGATAGAAAAAAATAAGTATGGATCAAAGTTACTTTGATAATTCTGGAATGATCCACTACGGGAGCCCTGAGGTCCAAACAGGAAGTCATCAGCAACAAGGAGGGTGGCGTTACAGCTATAATGGAGGCAAGCACCTGACACAGGCGAGTTTAGCTTCAGAGGAAGTGACATCATTCAGAATGTGGGATAAAATAAGAATGCGTTTGTGATTGTAACGGTCTGTCCTGCTGCCGAGTTCTTCCACCGAACAGAACCGGTTCCAGTAAAACTAACAGGACAAATCCTGGAACTCTTCCTCATCGTGCTGGTTCTGATTCTGGTGTACAGGTACCAGCAGAGAGATTACTGAACAAACCCACGAAGAAGAATCAGGGCCACAGAACTGATGACATCATGGTCCAGATGGAAGGCAGGGGGGTTTGGTCCCAAGAAACCAGAACACACAAGTCAGACTGGGTCAGAACCAGTTTCATCAAGCAGCTGGAACAAGTTCGGCTCAATCTGATACCAAGACCAGAACCAGAATCCAATCAAAGTAGATCCAAACAAGTTCTGCTGGTACAAGATTTCTCATTCAGCTCAGGTCCAAACAAGGTCCAGGTCCAACACAGGTGCAGCCCTAGTTCAGGTCCAGATCCATGATGTAGTAAATAAGGCCCCTGGGTAAGGACACCTTCATCTGGTCCAGCATTTATTTACTTGTTTATGTTGACAAAATGACCAAAAACCGGAAGTGATCCAACACGTGACAAATCACCTGTTGGCTAAAAATAAAGTATATTATTTAAAATGTCACTGATTGTTTAACTAGTTGATAACTTTGACTTCTGTCTCCAACCCAAGTCAGACGAATCTAAACAAGAAATAAATGAAGTGTCACAAAGAAAAGAACCGGAACCGGACCTGATCAGAACCAGACCCAGACCATTCTACTCATTAGTGGCTTGGTTCCATTCCCTTTCAAAGTACAGTTCTATGATTTATATTTGGAACCAAACCAGTGATGCAGATATGTGACGGAACCGGTCCGGAAATGGGACCCAGTTCAGTTCAACCGAAACCAGTAACTAGTTTACACTGGTGGTAAGTTTACTAGTTAGGAGACATTTGAACTTCTTGAGTTAAACTTGGAACGTCCGACAGAAGAACTAAACCAACCAAGACCAGAGAGCCGACCCAAACCTGCACAAAGCGAACCGGGTCATAGAAACCTCTGGAACCAGCGGCTGCTCTCTGACCGACCACAGATCTGCATCCCATCCATCTGTGGTCGCGGATCGCTCGGGTGGGAACCTGCGAACACATGATGCAGCCATGCGGGCAGCCTCCGCCTCCACTGGTCCCACCTCTTCAAGACTGGACCACAACAACGAACCCTCGTCAGAACCGCATTGATCCATAGCGGAGCTCCGGATCGATCCGCGCAGAATCACTGCGGTTCTTTCACCATTAGCTCCGGGATCCCCGGTGTTTCCCACCCTCGGTCCCTCACCCAAGTACGGCCCGGTCACATAGTGCGGAGGCTGCCGGGTTTCGGGGCTTAACGAGCCGGCTCAGAGGCTTCGGAGTGGCCAGCAGTAAGAAGCATGACCCGGTTCTGTCCAGGTGTGTGTTCGGGTTTGAGAGCGGGACTCGGAGCATGAACTCACCCTCTGCCGCCACCGAAGCTGCCGTAGGCCCGATCATCGTAGTCCGCCATGACTGCTGCTGAATCTGAGAGAAGGAGGTCCTACACGTCACACACGGAGCGGGTTCGGCTGCCCGTAGCATGCCTGACCGGGAACGTCAACACAATGATAATAATAATAATCAATAATAATTAATAATAATAATAATAATAATAATAATAATAATAATAATAATAATAATAATAATAATAATCGTTATGATAATGCTGCTTATTATTATTATTATTATTTAATCGTATCATTATTCATCATATTATCCTTATTAATACAGCACAAAAATATTCAGCTGCTCACACCATGCTTCAACAACCAACACATTTTTAAACATAAAAATAAGTGACAATTGTACGCACACACGCACACGCACACGCACACGCACACACACACACACACACACACACACACACACACACACACACACACTTTAGATATTACCTGGAGCCTTTGGTGGGGGTGGAGTCATCACTTCTGACTGAATGAGTCTCTCCAGCATCCCCATCACATTCATTAGAATTATGTGTAATAAAACTGGGGCAGCTTCCTGCTGTCTGACAAACAGGAACGAACCTGGTGGGAATGCAGATGGTCAGAAGTAAATAAAGTGAGTGAGAGTTTGCAGCATTCAGAACAATGGCCGATGCTCTAAACCAAATAAAAACATGTAAGTGATCCCGTCGTTACTGAAACGTGTCAGAATAAATAAAAACATGTAACCAATACCACTTTTAACAAAATCTGGTTACCCTTTTTCTAGCGAAATCGACAAATTATTAATATTGAGACTTTTTGTGCTCTACATTTATTTCTACTCTGTACGGAAGAGGATTAGAGCCAATGACAAGACAAAAGAAAGAAAGAAATTAAATTATTGCAATTTAGAGGGATTACATTTTAAACTCTTCATTTTCACACTAAACAAAGTTTAAAGCTAAGCCTGTTGCACCAAACCTTTAAACTTTGATCTAGGAATTACTTTAAACCAGTAATGAGGATGCTTAACTTTAGTAATGGCTGTATTTTTAGTTATCTATAGCCAAATTATTCTTCCAAGAAAATGGATCAGCAGGCTCAGTCCACCTGAATTAAATGATTAAGGTGGATTTCTGGTCCACCATATCAATTTTAGAGCTTTTTATTCAGTAAACTTAGCATTGTGAAGCCATTAAAACCAGTTGCTGCCTCCTGTTCTCACCACCGATCCTGAGGCGAGACTGTTTTTTATTTACATACCAGCTCCCCGATTAACGGTGGGCTCGGTCGGTGACGCTTTGGTCCTGCGTGCCTTTGATAAAAAAGAAAAAAGTTAGCCGCAGGTCATAATTTCATTTCGAACCTCTGGGTCGTTAATGTGGTAACCATGGAAACACTCCTGCTGCTGCTCATTTACGTCTCCGGGGTCAGCGTCAGCGAGCACGCTCACAAGCACCACTACTGTCATCGACACATAAAGGAACGACGCAGCTCCACGTACCACGTGACTCCTGCGTAGGCTCATTTACATATCTATTGCTGTACGTCTGACGTAATCAAAGGCCAGAACCTATAGACCTCGGACCTGAAAGCACGTCACTCACTTTGTCTAGAAGAGAGAAGCTTGTTTTTGGACTCCCACAAGAAGAATTAAAATGGCAAAATCCACACAGGAATGTTTAGATAATTCGACTTTCAGAATTAAGGAAGGTATGTCTGTTGCAAGCAGATTCAATGTTTACCAAATCCAAAAAGTCACACATTACAGGAAGTTCAGTCAGATTGCTGAGTGCCGAAATGAGAGAACAGGTGAAATTTTGGCAATAAAATTTGTCAAAAAGAAGTTTTATTCTAAAAATAGGAGAGAGGTGAGGATACTGAAGCAACTGAAAAGTTTAGGTCTCCACCAATGCCGCATTGTCAACTTTTCTGAGTGTTTTTCATACCAAGACAGGACCTGCTTTGCCTATGAGAAGCTGGATTCAACCTTTCAGGAATTAGTTTTAGCAGCAAATGGGAAACCTGTTCACCTTATTGAGATCAGAGCTATTGCATATCAAATGTTCGTTGCTTTAGCAGCTCTGCACCACGCTGGATTCACTCACGCTAATATAAAACCAGAAAATATAATGACTATGGATAAAGTTTCACATCAGTATGGTGTCAAACTGATTGGTTTTTCCAACTCTGCAACGACATCTGACTTACGTGACTTAAAGATCCCTTTAGATTGTGGTTACACCGCACCAGAGGTGTTCCTGGACTGTCCACTAGACGAAAGCCTTGATATCTGGAGCCTTGGATGTACGTTAGCTTTTCTGTTCTTAGGGCAACACATGAGCCCCGTGGACTGTGAGTATCAGTACATGAGGTTTATCGTTGATGTCTTGGGCCAGCCGAAAAATAAACTACTGGAAAAAGGATGTCAAAGTCGTCGTTTTTTTAAACAAGTGAAGCAGGGGTCTGATTACGTTTGGAGACTCCGGACTCCGAAGGAATTTGAAGAAATAACTGGAATTGAGGTTAAGAAAACAGATTGCAATAATTTAACTGATTTCAGTGACTTTCTGTTTAAATCCAACCAACCAGAGCCAATAGCTTATGACGACACAGAGGCTTTCATCGACCTTCTCAGGAAGATGTTAAACGTGGACCCGGCACTTAGGATCAAGCCAGCGGATGCTTTAAAACACCCATTTATAAAAATGAAGCATCTATGTTATATCTCAGATGAATTTTATTTAACAGAATCCCAAAGGATTATGGAGGAATTCCAACACAGCGAACAAGAATACACTTATAGTTCTCTTTCTACTCCGAACAGCAACGGAGAGCAGACCCCAGACCTGGATTTTAGTAAGAAGGGAAAGAGAAATTCCTCACATTTAGTCCAGACCAAAACCAGAACAGGAACCAGTAGCAGTGAAACAAAAGCTGAAAAGAAAAACACGCCACACTCTGACCCCAGGAAGAGTTCACCTAATGATGAGAAAGTCCATCCGTTGTTTAGCAGTGAAAGCTCTGAAGGAGCTAGTTCAGAGGACTCAAAGATGGACCTGTCTATCAGATGGGAAACGGATTCCTCAGACACAGACAAAGGGTCGTACTCAACTGACTCAGATAGCACCCCTTCAATATTAATGCCAGGTATGGTAATTACGGGGAATTCAAAGATTTACGAAGTAGAGGAAGTTCTTGGTTTTGGGACGTTTGGAGAGGTGGCCAGGTGCTGCATAGAGGGACAAGATAAGGTGGTCGCTTTGAAAGTAATGAGTAGACAGTACGAAAGCGAATTTTTAAATGAAGTTCAAACGTTACAACTTCTGAACAAACTGACAAATTTCAAACACTGCTTTATGAAACTGAATGACAGTTTCACCTATCGAGGCTTTTTATATCAGGAATTCGAGCTTTTGGATCAAACTTTGTTCGATTATTTCAAACAAAGAGATGACACTTTAACGGTGGCTGAAATCAGAGCAATTGCCCAGCAGATCTTAGAAGCTCTTAGTGTTTTAAAACAGCTTGGCATTACTCACACAGATGTGAAACTTGAAAATATCATGCTTGTAAATCATGAAGCACAACCATTCAGAGTGAAGCTGATTGATTTTGGGTTGGCTTTTGAGACTGAACGTTTACCACAGAAGGGTATCATTCAAAATTTGGCTTGCAGAGCTCCAGAGGTAACTCTTGGTCTACCACGAGATGAAGCGATAGACACTTGGAGTCTTGGCTGTCTCTTGTCTGCTCTGTTTCTGGATTGTTATCTGTTCCCAGAAGAAAATGAATATGATAATCTGAGAATAATTATGAAGCTCCTTGGTCAACCTGACAAAAAACAACTGGACGAGGGGACTCTAGTCTCAAACTATTTCAGAAAAGATAAGAACGGGTCTGAATGCTCTTGGAGATTTAAAACCCTGAAACAATACGAAAAGAAAGGAGGAGCGGTGTCTGTGAGGGCAGACGCAACCTATGATGATTTAACAACGCTGGATGACTTGTTTTTCTCTCAAAACACTAACAACTCAACTGAAAATGAAGATATCGAAGCTTTTCTTGACCTCGTGAAGAAAATGTTAACAGTGGATCCATCAAACCGGATTCTGCCAGCTGATGCTCTGAAACACCCTTTCATCACGATGGAGCATCTCGATGGCGCTTCAGATAGACGTTATGTGAAAAAAGCTCGTAAATTAATGAGAAATGTCCAACCGTGTCCTGCAGATGGTGAAAGTGTAATCAGCGAATGCCCCGGGCCTAGTCAGGTGCCAGGTGTTCAAACAGACTTAGAGAGATCTTTACCAATGGCAGAATCGACATGCAGTACAAAATTTAGTTCAGAAGAAATAGAGTTTAATTTAGAAGAATGCAAAGGAGTAAACGTTACAGAGAAAACTTCTTTTGACACCAGAGAGAAGGATGAAGAGCCAATGTGTAGCAAACAGTTATTAGAGAAAACCAGCACAGTAAACACAGAGGAACTGCATATGGATAATCTTTCACCGGACCAATCTATAGATAGTGAAACATCGTCCGCAGACATAGATGAGACAAACTCAACTGACTCAGAAAGCTTATCTTCATTACTAATCCCAGGTATGAAGATTGAAGGCCTTTCAAAGGTTTATATTGTAGAAGAAGTACTTGGATCTGGGGCATACGGAGCGGTGGCCAGGTGCCGTATACAGGAAACAAATGAGGTCGTGGCGTTGAAAATGACATGTGAAAGCGATTACGGCAGTTTTTTCAATAAGATGAAAATATTAGAAAGGCTGAACGAACTTACACAATGCGATAGCTATTTTATCAGACTGAACGGCAGTTTCGCCTTTCAAGGCTTTTTATATCAGGAATTAGAGCTTTTGGATACAGATTTGTTTAATTTTTTGACGAACGAAGGTAATTGTTTAACAGTGGCTGAAATCCGACCAATTGCCCAGCAGATCTTAGAAGCTCTTAGTGTTTTAAAACAGCTTGGCATTACTCACACAGATGTGAAACTTGAAAATATCATGCTTGTAAATCATGAAGCACAACCATTCAGAGTGAAGCTGATTGATTTTGGGTTGGCTTTTGAGACTGAACGTTTACCACAGAAGGGTATCATT